ATTAAAGAAGTTAAATGTTGAATAGTTCAAGCGAAGGCAGCATTTTACAAAATAAAGAGTATTTTTGCAATCTTTATTTTTCAATGAAGACAAGAAAGAGAATTCTTAAAAACTATATAAATCCTATCTTGATAAACGGAAGTGAATCATGGACAGTTGGTAGATTAGTGAAAACTTATTTGGAAGCTGTGACGATGTGGTTTTATAGACAAATGCTGAGAATACCCTGCCCAGATAAAAAGAGTAACGAGGATGTCTTGGGGGAAACTGACCCTCGAAGAAAACTGATTTGCCAACATCAGAAAGAGACAATCTACATTCTTTGTTCATGTGATAAGAAGGAGAAAACTGGCGTATATCATGAAAGTAGGAAAGTTGGAGGGGAGAAGAGGCAGAGGGAGACAGAGAGAACAGATGCTGGACAGTTTGACATCATGGCATTGAGGATCATCTGTGTCAGAGTTAATTGAAATCACACGAGACAGGAGGTTGTGGATAGACATGACTACCAACACCACACAGCATGGACTTTAAGTAGAGCACAAGATGAATGAAAGGGATTTTAAATTTACCATGAAGTCCACAAAGGAAAAGTCCATAAGCCACAATCTATTAAAGAATTCAAAGTGTTGTTCTTGATGCAAACTGTTAGCTGTAGTTCCCTGTCAGGATCCTAGCACTGAGATTCTTCAGGCTTAGGCTTGAGTTAAAAGTAGAATGGAGCACTTATGGGTTACTACCCTTGTGCCATGATGTTGATCCATTGTTGAAACTTTAAGCTTAAAATTCCCTGTATCTTGCTGCCATAATAGAGGTAATAAAATGTTCTGACAGAATCGCCCATGTAGAACTCATAGAGAGGACTAAACATGTCACAGGGAATCAGTAGTTTAGGGAACACAGCAACACAGAATATGAAACACATTCTTCTTCTTCACAGTTACCGACTGTAAACTCTGGCGGAAAGCTCTAGTTGCTCTTTCGCTTCTGGACTTTAGTCTTGTTACAGAACTTAAAGCTCTAGTTGCTCTTTCGCTTCTGGACTTTAGTCTTGTTACAGAACTTAAGTTTTTTAAGATCTAGCTTATTTGTAAGCAGACTGTTGGTGCCTCAACACTGAGACAGGTGCACTCTGAATTCAAAGGAAACACCCCTTATTAGTTGACTCTTACGACGGTTCTTTATTAACATCCTACCCCATATGACGTCACAGGAGAGTTCAATATTTTAGAGGGTGGTAAGACAGGCTTTCTGATGTTTTTAACGACCCCAAAACATCTAGAACTGGCCCTAACCCCAACCCACCTATGTCCCACGAGATAGTGCAGCCTAGCTCCCACGACTGCATGCAGCCTAGCTCCCACGACTGCATGCATCCTATCTACCACCCCCTGAAATATTAGACTGTCCAGTGACCTGTGGATTTTCCCTGTTTGGGGTACAATATTAATAAAGCATCCTTACGACAAGCTTGTTTTAGGGGTGGGGGACCCACACAAGGATGAAACATATTGAGAAAACCTTTAAATAGTGTAATAAGAAGTTACTTTTTTCAGGAACCCTCAGATCAAAATGAATATACAGAGATCTAGAACACAGTGAAGAATAAGTTGGTTGAGGCCCTATGCTTTATGTATGCACCTCCCAGATAACTGCAGAATCAGCCAGTGCATCTGCCTTTTCATGTTATTTTACACCAGACCTGGGTTTGTTTTGTTTTTTTTAAACAAAGTCCTATTACTGGGTCTCTTCACTGACTCACATCTCTGCCCATACATTGTGTTCAGACTTTAGGATGTTTATGCAACCAACCACTTAATATAGATTATGGAACCATTTAATACACATCATGGAACCACTTAATATACACCATGAAACCACTTAATATAGATCATGTAACCACTTAATATAGATCATGGAACCACGTAATATTCATCAGTGAAACTACTTAATTTACACCATGGAACCACTTAATATACATCATGGAACCACTTAATATACATCATTCAACCACTTAGTATAGATCATGAAACCACTTAATATGCACATATGTTTTTAATCCTATGTTTCTGCGCAACATTGGGTCATTGCCACTGCTCCTATCTCCTGTCTGGTATAATCGTGTGAAAGATTGATAATAATTTGTTATAGGATAAGGTTTTATATAAGTTAAAATGTAAAAATATATTTAGCTAATGTTTTGAAAGAAAACTTTGAGACAGTAGTTAATGTCTCCATTTCTTTTCAACCATACCCTAGAGAAAATTATAAGGAAATTGAAAGAAGATTGTACTCTAGGGATAACTACAAGAATACTTGGCTATGCAGATGACATTGATATCATTGGAGAAAATGAACAAGAAACAGTAAAAACACTAAATGTCTTAACTGTAGCAGCTAAAAAATGGGACTAGTTATCAATAAGATAAGATAGAATATGGGGTAATAAAAGAACAGGGAAACGATAAAAACTCTGGCAAAATACAGACTGATAATATGAAAATCAGAAAAAAAACGAAAGAATATGAGTACTTGGATGCAAACTTCAACTGCCGGGAGAAGAAATACAATCTAAAATACAATCCGGAGATAAAGTATACTATGCCCTACAACATCTGCTAAATTCAAAATCTGTGTCTTATAACACCGAGATCAAAATATATAAAATGCTGTTAAGACCAGTTGTTTTATATGGCTCTGAAACTTGGAGCACAACTAAAAGAGATAAAGCCTTATTAAAAAAAATGTTAAATAGTCTTACAACCAATCTTTTGACCCATTAAAGATGCAAACCGCAGGTAATGGAGAATAAGAAGCAACAACGAAATTCATTATCTGTTTAAATCACCATTGATCACTGGCATCATGAGGGCTCATAGACTGACATGGCTGGGACATATGGAGAGAATATCAGCTGACAGAGAGGTAAAAGCTGTGTACGCAAAAGAGTTGAATGGTTATAGATCACAAGACAGATCAAGATGGCTGTGGAGAGATACTAATCACCAATTGGGAGGTTGGGTGATATCAACAGCAGTGAACCTCAAGGGCTCGGAATGCTGAAGAAGAAGATGTTTTTGCTGTTTACTTGTTATAAGTTTTAAGAAGATATGCCATTTTTTTTTTCTCCAGAGTTTACTTAGTGATGTTTTTCCGTCATTTCATTGCACTCTCTTTGTTACAATCCCCTACTTCCTTCTTTTCAGGACACATTTGGAATCTTCACAAACAGCTCAAGCCACTAGTAATGGGGACAGAATTCCAGGTCTGTCTGTGTGTGCACATGTCTATGTGTGCCCTTACATCTGTACTTGTATTTAGATTGAGTTTTTAATTAGTCTTAGTGGCATTAGCCTTTTTTTCAGCACTGATGATAATGTTTGTTTTGTCCTTGATACAAACTACTGGTAGTAGAAACATTGGGCATGATTAGTATCTCTAAGGTCTGAGCATTGAGAAGAACTGGCTCATAAACAGCATCCTGTCCCAAAAGTTGAGTTATTTTGGCCATGTTAAATGCCTTGTTAAATGTCATGATGGCCTAGAGAGAATGGTAATGGAGGGTACATTTTCTGGAAAAAGAGGCAGAGGCAACCTCCATGAAGGTGGATACAATACAATAAGGGCGCATTTGCTATAAAAGTATAAAGTATAATAGCGCGGTCCGGGAAAAATTTGAAGTTAAAAAAACTACCCAAAGTATTTCAGGATCCTCATCGGTAATACAGAGCTTGTGCACTGTGCTAAGCTTCATCTGACTCAGACTTGAGTTAGAAGAAGAACGGAACACTTATGAGTTACATCCGTGTGCCATGATGTTTATCCATTGTTTAAAATCTCATTCTAATTTCTTTTTGATTTTTTTTTTCTTTTCCTTTCTTACATTCTTCGTTTTTACACATACATACACCCACCTACCCATTCATACCACACACATGCACACACACACACACATATACAAATTTCTGTAGGGAGCATAGTGACTAGACACTTGGCTGCCAGCCTGAAGATCTTGGGTTCAAATCCGTTCCGAGGTGGATCTTTACAATTGACTTGGGCTCCAAAAGTAACCCAGCCTGGAATGGCGGCCAGGAAATATCATGTGGTGTCAAGGTTGCCATAACTATGTTAATATCACTCATGGAATACTTGTTGATTTATGAAATTATTGGTCTTGCACCATTTACCTAATTCAGTTATTGGCATCACAAGGGTAGTCTAATTTTATTCACAGATTTTTTTTTCCTGGGACAAAAATGGGCCATTATTCACCATATAAATATAGTATACTGGTTATAAATATAGTTTATGTACTATTTTGTGGAGCAATGATGTTAAAGACAGCGTATCCAGAAAGAAGGGAGGCATATCAAAAATGGCTTAAATCAAAATTATGTCCATTACTGATTAGTAAGAAGAGAAAGCAAAACAACAAATTAAAGTCATTTAAAGACAAATATTGGAGAAATTATGGTGAACAGATGGCTACCCTCACCAAGAACTTCCCTAGAGAATTCTATAAACATGTAAAAATCACGAGAGAAAGAGACAGAGGCTACAACCCAACAACTAACATCAACAGCAAGAGAGGCATACCTCTTATTAGTCCACAACAGAGGTTGGCAAGATGGGCATAATATTCTTAAGAACTTCTCAACCATGCAGGCAACGTAATTTTAACTTTGTAACTCAAAGCTGCGAACAAGAGGAATCAAATTTCATAGCGGCGGAAGTAAAAAAAAGCAGTTATCCAAAACAGCCACAGAAACAAAGCACCAGGTCTGGATGTAATTAATACAGAAGGGATCCAAGCATGAGGAGAAGTGGGTGTTAGATGGCTTACTAGATTTTGTTTTATATAGCTTTGGAAGAAAGAAAAGTCCCAGATAAGGCACTAATAGTACCGTTATATTTATACATACCTTTTTGCAGGATCTTATTTTGTCTTCTGACATTTTATATTACCTTCTCCTCCAGTGTCTATTATCTGTCTTGATGTTATGAAAATATGTTTCTGTTTTTCAGATTCTAAAACACAGTCAGCTTCCTTACACTGGGCACAGCAAGGTCTAGTGTCTGATGCAGGGTTGCCGTTTACAGCTGCCACTGTTGCACAAGAGCAGGTACACTGTGTTGCATTTACTATGTAGTTGATGGTATGAAATACTACAACAGCACAATTTAATGGAACAGTTGAAACAATTTCTTATGCTGAAAGTAGCAAATTGATTTGAATGAGTGATTTATTTACATTATTTATTTCTATTTTGCTAAGGAGTTACAAACTTAAATTATGATGCCAGAGAGAAAAAGAGAGAGAGAGAGCGTTGAGTCAAAAATTGACATTACAGCACTCTGGGTTTTCCCATATGTGCTCTGTCCCCATCTTCAGCAGCTAGTGCAAATTCAAATACCGGTACCAGTCGTAATCTGATAATATGTCTCTCTTGTCTTTCCTCTGATTGTATTGATCTGGCCAGACCCTCTGGTTATACCCAGGTGCATCATTCTCTCCAGGCCATAATAATAATCTACTTTCTCTTCTGACTTTTTTACTTGTTCCCAAAGGGCCTTGACCACATCTGCCTGGTCATATATCAATTCACAACCCACTGGTGCAGTTCCAGCCAATCTGTCTGCCTGTTTATTCTCCACAACGCTGGCGTGATCTTGAGAAAAGATCCAAAGTATAGAGAGAGAAATAGTTCTGCTCTTCTCTGGATTTTCTTTTGCATTTCTACTTTTCTTTGCTAATGGTTTTTAATTACTTTTGTGGATATTTTAAGCTGTTGCTGATCATTACATGTTTTATTCTCAAGCTACCCAAATCAACACACTTGGCTAGTCAGCAGATGGATTTGCTGGTGTCTCAGACAGAAATACAACCCAGTTTACAGCAGCAGCAGTTTATTCAACAACTATTTCCCAAAGAACAACCCCAGCAGCAGCTACAATCTATTCAGCAACATTCTCAGCTTCAGCAGCAGCCTCCACCTCAGCAGAAGCAGATGTTTCCTCAAGAACAACCCCCATTACAGCAACAGCCATATACTCAGCAGAACTCTCAGCTTCAGAAACAGCTTCCACAACAACAGCTTTCATTTCAGCATCAGCTTCTGTTTCAGCAGCAGCTTCCACTTCAGCAACAGCCCACATTTCAGCAACAGCTTCCACCTCTGCAACAGCCTCATTCTCTGCAACAGCCTCATTCTCAGCAGCAGCCTGCACCACAGCCTCATTCTCAACAACAGCAGTATATATCTCAGCCTCATCACTATCATCCCCAGAAGCAGTCATATCAGCCTGAACAGCAACAATCAGAGTTTATTCAAACACATCATTCGTTACGTCGTGAACATTTACTTCAGCCACAACGGCCTGGAGATGTTCAAGAACTGAATAAATCACAGCCTACATTGCAGGAGCCTGTGTCACTAGCTCTGGAACAGGTAAACAATATAAAAGTTACACAATCATCATCATTACCATGAGTAAACAAACAGACAGTGTATTGATCGACACTCGTAGAAAGAAATATAAAGTTACAGAATCATTATCATGGGTAAACAGTCTGTGTTGATTGGCACTCATAGAAATAAATAAAAAGATAACAGTTATAAAATTATTATCATCATCATGAGTAAACTAACAGACTGTGTATTGATTGGCGCTCATCGAAAGAAGTAGAAAGATAAAAGTTACAGAATAACCATCAGTATCTAAGTAAACAAACAGTGAATTGATAAGCACTCATAGAAAGAAATAGAAAGTTACAGAATCATTATCATCATCATGAGTAAACAAACAGACAGTGTATTGATTGGCACTCATAGAAAGAAGTAGAAAGATAAATGTTACAGAATCAACCATCAGTATCTAAGTAAACAAACACTGTATTGATCTGCACTCATAGAAAGAAATAGAAAGTTACAGAATCATTATCATCATCATGAGTAAACAAACAAACAGACAGTGTATTGATCGGCATTCATAGAAAGAAGTAGAAAGTTTAAGTAAACAAACAGTGTATTGATAAGCACTTATAGAAAGAAATAGAAAGTTACAGAATCATTATCATCATCATGAGTAAACAAACAGACAGTGTATTGATTGGCACTCATAGAAAGAAGTAGAAAGATAAAGGTTACAGAATCACCATCAGTATCTAAGTAAACAAACACTGTATTGATCTGCACTCATAGAAAGAAATAGAAAGTTACAGAATCATTATCATGAGTAAACAGAGGATGTTGATTGGCCCTTATAGAAATAAATGAAAAGATAAAAGTTATAAAATCATTATCATCATCATGAGTAAACTAACAGATAGAGTTTTGATAGGCTTTCATAGAAATAAGTAGAATAATAAAAGTTACAAAACATCATCAGTATCATGAGTAAACAGATAGACAGTGTATTGATCGGCACTCATAGAAAGAAGTAGAAAGATAAAAGTTTAAAAAATATCATCATTAAATATGTGGCGCGGTGATTTCGGTCACAGGCATGAGAGACAGTTAAGTCTGATGTGATGTGTATTAGGAAATATTCCGTACCCCACTCGGGCGCCAGTCCTTCAGTACGGAACCTCATTCAAGACTCCTCCTGTTCGTGTGCCATGGGTCTTGAGCATTAACAGAGTTGGCAGGGGATCTGGCGGCCCCTAGAGGTGTAGTGTCCTTTCTGGCTTTCACCAGCCCGCCGACAAACGCATGGGTGAAAAGTCTAACAAAACTCATTCAAAACACAAGTAAGGATTGCTTGCCAAATGTACCATCAAATGACAACTCTCGGTTAAAATTCAGGAGTGAATGGAAAACTGTGCTGCTGAGACTCAACCCTGACCGAGAAATTTACCCGCAGCCAAGACGAGTAACATCTCTTGTGGGCAATTTCTCGCAGCAAGATCTTACCTACGTACATCCTCTGTCAATCCTCAGTGTCGTCGTCACTGCGCTGAGGTACACCACGGCAGCAACTTGCTGGCTAGGAAATAATGTCCGACAAAGTTAAACCCCATGGCACACATGCAAGCTCAAAGTCCGACGATCATAATTCGTACCGAATAGGAAAAAGTCCAAATGTCCGTATCCACTGGTCCCACTCGCCCGAGTGTTGGGACCAAACAGGTGAAGCCACGCCTGACGCATTTTGCTTCCCCATTCTGTCGTGCCAAGGGCACAGCTGAAACAACGTTAAAGGTGTCTACGTACGATGAAAAAGAATGTACCTATTTGTGTGGCCACAAAAGTCCTGGACCTGCGAGCTGCTCCCCGCTGATCTCCGGAGAGCGCAGCCTTGTGGCGCGGGAAGCTCAATACACGGTTGTGAGGTTAAGCAGTCATGGGCAGGACGTGACGATTCCTTGGGTGAGCCCAGAACCAGAGCATCATGAGGTTAAGCAGTCATGGGCAGGACGTGACGATTCCTTGGGTGAGCCCAGAACCAGAGCATCATGTGTCTGCTCTGCATTTATGGAAGCCTCCTTGGATGGCGGGGAATGCCCATGAGCTGCCCCTGCCTTCCCTTGAAGGCTGACAATTCTACCTAGGGCTGCCTTAAGGAGGATATTCCGGGGACCACACCTGTTGAAGGTCAAAGAGGACACCACTCAAATAAGGCAACATCTCGACCCACACAAAACAATGGCCACAGTCAACCTAGAAATAGGCTTGACGTCTTCCCTCGAAGTCGGAGTACATCTGCCGGAATTCACAGCCGCCGGAATTCACAGCCGGTGAACAAGAAGAAGAAGAAGAAATCATCATTATCATGAGTAAATACACAGTATATTGATCGATACTCATAGAAAGAAGTAGAAAGATATAAGTTACAGAATCACATCATCTTCAGGAATAAACAAACAGACAATGTATTGATGCTGTCTGCTGAACTCACTTTGCTGTTCACTTGTACCAGAGGTCAGAGGCGCGATTGCCTATGTCAGTCATAAAGGCGCTAGATGGTGATGGTAACAGAGACGAGTGCAAAAGGATCCACACTGCTTGAAGTTGTGAGACGAACGTTTCTTGAGATTAACCGGTCTCCACGGGTATTGCAAGAGCCTAGCGTGACCAGCCCTTGAGCTGAAAGTTAACCTGTGTCCGGTCAGTGCCTCTCGGTCGATGAGACATAGCAAACATGTGTGGGTGTGTGTGACCGTTATTTGTAATTATGGGTACTATTTTATTCTGTTGGAGAGTTTGGACTTGTCATTAGGTTTTGGTGTATAATTTGAAATGTTCCAGCTGAGTGTATTTAGTGGAGACAAGGTGGTGAGAGCAAAACACTTTATCTGCCGCTGTTGAGAGGAAACCATCTTAAAGCAAGAACGTGAAGATTTCTTGTCGGTGTTCTGACTCGCAACTGTATGTCAGGGAGACTTGGTGTGCCCTAGGCAAAGTCACTAGACAATTCCTTGTGTAGGATTCCTCGTTAGGGTTCTGACTCGCGACTGTGTCGGAGAGACTCATTGAATGGAGTCTGTAGTCAGTTCACAGTCCTGACTTGCGACTGTATGTTGGGGAGACTTGGTGTGCCGGGGGCAAGATCTCTAGTCAGTAATTATGTAAGTCGCTAACTGTTGTAGGTTATTTGTGACCCAAAGTGTGGGCACATTACCGCAGCATCTATTAAAGGCTACTGGTGACCCCAGGAGTGGGTCCATAGGCCAAAAGTGTCTTATGTTGTGGACTCACGTCAAGTCAAGGCTAGGTGTTCCCTTTTGAGGTGACACCGCCTTAGAAGCATACCAGTAAGTATCTGGGAGTATTAGACGGACAGCAGTTCTGTAATCACCAGTCATTTTCATCATCATAATGTGTTCACTCACAATAGACTGACGCACTGGTATAGAGATGTCTTGTAATGTGATGTTGACACTGTTATCAGTGTTGTGGAACGATGTGACTATGTGAAACTATGTTACCTAAACACTGTGCAGTAGGGAACTCAATTAGTCATCGGATAGTCAACTTGGGAACTTTTGTGTGTGTGTGTGTGTACGAATGTGTATATATATATATATACTGTAATATATATGTAAATGGATGAAGCAGAATCCACATTCACTCCTATACACTTTGTCAGATGTGTGGTCCATACTCCGGACCACATACAAGAATTGATCAGCACTCATAGAAAGAAGCAGAAAGATCAAAGTTACAGAATCATCATCATTATCAGCAGTAAGCAAACAGGTGTTTCTTATGTTGGATGGCTTTTGTAGCTGCCCTAGAGGGAGATCATGAATGATGTGTAAAGAGATATGATCACTTATTCCCTGGCAAAGCACACGGTCATGATGATTTAACTTTAAACTGTATTCTAGATCGGTCAAAAACATTGACCTGATCAATGATTGTGGTGATATTTTGAGATAATGAAATGTAAGTCTATTCTTTTTGCCATGGTTCCTGCTAATGAAATATACATATGTGGAATCCAGAGCCTATACAAAAATATGATATGTAGTAAATAAACAGTTACAGTTTGTTTTCTTGGTCTTCTTCTAACCCAGTGACTTAAACTTTGAAAAACAAAATTTGTTTACTCTTGTCAGTAGTTGGCCTGCCAACTAGTGAAAGCTACGGGAACACTCGTATTGGACAATGGAGGTATTTCGAAGACCATATATAAGCAACTTTTGGCAGAAGACACAAGATTAGATGAAATAACATGGGCAAAAATGTGTGAGCGAGGAATTAAGTGTGGATCCGGCAAGAAGGGACAGATGAGAGGAAGAGATGGGTATGTGTATAATCAGGGTGCTACAGGAACAGTTAGCATCTACACCTTACGTCATTTGCTGCGGGAGACGGAGCATCTATGGGTATGCCCGGTGTGCTATGATGTCGATTCTTAAATCAGTAAATCAGTAAATGGCCTGCATCTCTGTTGATTAGTCGTCATTGTTATTGCTGTCTAGATACTCAAATTCCGAGTTTCATTCTACTTAGATATTGTTTTAGTGTGCCTCAGATTGTAGGTAATAGTCTTGCTGATTTTCTTTGTTTTCGTCCTGTACATATTGATTTTAACATGATATTTTACACATATTTTTGTTACAAAATAAATGTATTTGCTTTATATATAGCATATATAAATTGTATCCATTACAGCAACTACCGTCGGATGTTATAATGCCATCTTACTCCCAGATCATGTCTACAGTGAGACTGCCTGATTCCATTTCTGAAGCTCATGCAATGGTAAGATGTTACCTAGGCACATGCATTTACTGTAAACTTGAATCTTTGTGGTTAATGAGATACATCACAAGTGTGGGAGTTGATGGGAGGATAAATCCATCAGAGCTCTGCTGGGTAGGTCGTGTGGTCTTTACTACCAGCTTCTGAGCAGTGGAAGGAGACGTAGGCCTATAGAACATGGGAATCTACTGTAGTGAACTGCAGAAGGGAGAGTTCTCATGGGGCAACCAGAGCAGTGTTTTGGGTATGGTTTTGGGATCCAACTGGGGACATTTGGCATTGATTCTGCTGCCTGGTGGGGGTCACTGCATGTGACCGTTTGTCCTAGTACCTATTTTGTCAATGGAGAGTGGTAATGTATGGAGCAATTACTTATGCAACTGCAGCTCTCTCTCTCTCTCTCTCTCTCTCTCTCTCTCTCTCTCGCTCTCTCTCTCTCTCTCTCTCTCTCTCTCTCTCTCTCTCTCTCTCTCTCTCTCTCTCTCTCTCTCCCTCCCTCCCTCTCTCTCTCTCTCTCCCTTCTCTCTCTCTCTCTCTCATATCATTAACCTCAGCAATGTTTTGGGGGGGGGGGGGGTGTAAGGATCTTTTGTGCGCTTTTTCCAGTGCATTGTACAAGTTGGTGCTCATTTCTGTTAGGTTGCCTCTGATGGTATCACTCCTTCTCTAGCATGGTCTTTCCCTTGCTTTATTTTTTTTTTTCTTCAGCGTGGCTCTCAGTGAAAGTTGGTACCAGGACATTCTTGTCAGGAGGCCAGAACATCTCATTTGTTGTTCTTTTTTGAAACAGTTTAGAAAATAAAAAAAAAAAGATGGACCAGAAAAGATCATCAGCTGAATTTCCCAACTGTTTGCACACCAAATTTCATGCCTAATCTGCCCGAGAATATTTATTGCCAAGATTGCATTATTTATTTTCCCCCACAAAAAAAAAAACCGAATGGGTCATGAACCTGTGGGAATTTCCAAAAAATCCTTTAAACAAAACAGCCATTTTACACAAGTCCCTAATAAATTGAAACAAAATAGTATTTATCTGCATTAGGAAATAATTTTTAAAAAGTTTAAAGGAAGAGAGAGGGAGTAATCCTTAAACATCATAAGAGTGAAGTATTAAGTAGAATATATTCCCTGTAGCCTAAAATATATGTATTAGGTGACTCATGCTCTGACCTCATGACCTTTATCACTGAAGCTATGGTAAATGTGATGTCACAGTGGCTTTAAGAAAATCTATTTGATTTATAAAAAAAGTCCCCCAAATGCTATTTATAATCAGTATATTTATTTCAGGGCCTCCTAAATCCTGCTGAGGCACAGATAGAACCAGTGATGTTCAACTATGTTTTTTGAGGCCAAGCCACTGCAGAGAAGCTGATGCATCTGCATTTCCTGAATATGTGTCACAATGTGCTGGAAATAATTATATTTAGGCTTCTCCAGGCAACAGGGTCAAAACCACCTGTGCACCTTTACATCATAAAGTACCATTAGCAAATGAATCAACTGGCCATCCTCACTTGCGACATTAACATTTTTTTTAATTCCAAAAGTCTTTGTGAGAACACACAGGCATAACAGTTTAATCAACAAACACTTTGTATTTGGTTTGTTGAATAAACAGCTGGTAGTATGTTTTGTGTGTGAAATGTTGATGAATGTGGGTGCTAGAAAGGGAACAGTTTAAAATTGCCATTTAACTCACTTATTCATATTCTCTGTTCTCATAGTTCTTACTATTTTCAGTATATTCATATCCGTAAATCTGTTTTAGATACGGAAATTTGAGCTGGAAAAAGCATACAATGAGTCACTGCTTGAGAGTACAAGGAGGCGTTACGAAGAGGAAATGTTTTCTGTGGAAACCTCGTACAAGTACGTATGTAATTTGGCATGTTAATTTGTTTAATTTTCTAATATTAACATGCACTTGTTTTAAACTGTATAACATCTAAAGTGACAATAAAATGTATCATTCTCTATATTATAAACATCTACTCAGTTTCCTTTAGTTTGGTAGACAATATACAAAACAGTAAAAATATATTTATTCATTAAAAAAAAATTATGCCATTTAGGTTTTGTTTTTATTTCAAGGCGGAAACGGAAATAAAATTTGTTTGCAAAAATGACTGATTTAGTACAGTGCAGACCTGATAAGGAGAACTCACCGGAGACCCATGAAGTGGTTCTTCTTATAAATTCCTCTTTTCCAAATAAGAGTTCAAGCAAGAAAAACTGCAGAGGATAAACAAATTGTTCTCCACAACAGAAATTCGCCTTATCCTTGATCGCCTTAAGTGGGTCTGCACTGTAATTACATTAGCAGTTGGAAGTTAGCCACATGAGTAGAAATAAAGCAAAGGATTCTTGTTCACACCATTGATGCAGCAGGCATGTAATTGTAGCCTCATATTTTGTATAGCCTAATCGACACACAGTAGGTGAAATGTGGTCAAAATCATGCCGACCGCCTTTATTTCCCAGGGTGAGCACTATAGTTAATGAAAAAGGACTTATGGTGTCTGAGCTGAGTTGCCAATTAAATAATTTAAAGAAACTGATTACTGGTTGAATAATTAACATCATAGCACTTTGGGCATACCCATAGATGAAGCATCCTGCAGCAATATCTTAAGATGTGGATCAGGTGTCACATACCGCTCATGTTGTGTGCCATTTTTAGGATTTCTCCTTAAGAACCAACAGCACTCTGAAATAGTATAATGATATATATGATGCTTATATTGGTCTAAAGGATATCCCGTGGCCAATATACACCCAACCTTTTCAGGAGTAGGGCAACTCAAGCTATGGCACTACAGAATATATAATATTCTTAGGCGTAGCTTGGTTGGACGTCCCCACTACTTTAAGAAGATAGCCCCCAGGCTATGATATTGTAATATCACAGTCATGTTAACACAGGTTAAGATTAATGGTTACACATACATATACTCTTGACAGTTTTGAACATTGAATGATGGACACTCAAGTCATTAATGAAAACTTCCAAAGACATGTAATAAATGCAACATATATCAAATAAGACTCAAGCACAGATACTCAAGAACAACTGGAATAATGAGATCAAAACCAAAGCAACATTGACGGATCCTCGAAGAGACTCCTAGAGATGGTCTATCTTCATCATCGTGACTCAGAGTGGACGTATAAATATAGAACCAGACATCAAACCACAGAGTCTTTCTACTTATCTGGTCCCGGTTGGCGTCACTGCACTCATCGGTTCATGATGACTTTAACAGGCTGCCCCTGTTGGGAATGTTCACTGTGCTGGTTGATCTTGTAATACCAGTTACAAACAGAGTTCAAACACTGGAGCCCAAACAACCTCCTGAAGAGGGTACTCTAGTTTAATGACAAATGGGCGGCCTGGAACAACTGCCTCTCAGTCACTCAAGCCCAAACAAGCTCCTGAAGAGAGTACTCTGGTATAATGACAAATGGGCGGTCTGTAAGCTGATGCCTACACTCTGGCTTCTACTTTGTTGTCTGCCATGGTGATGGTGTGATAGTTGGTAATTTTGTGGACTGCTGATTGACTGCCTGGCCTTCAAGGATATATCATCCTGTCTCAAGAATGAACTCAGAATTAGTAGTCATCCAGAGGTCACATGCCCAGCTCATTCATTTACTCTCCACCCTTAGCAATCACTCAGAGGACAGCTCCCAGGATAATGAGACAGTTCAAGTCTCCATGTATCTCTGTTGGTCAGTCAGTATAAGAGAAAGTAGACAAGTTCCACAGTGGAAACAGATAGACTCTATTAAACAGAGAACATCGTCTCTCCACATTCACATCTACACAGACCACCACTCTCTCACATATGTATATATTATTCTCCACCGACCGACCTGAATCGATCCTGTGTTGTGATAGTGTCTGCTATAAATAACCCATGACGTCACTGTGTGTCGCTTGCTTCGCGAAGAAGCTGTACATTGACCCAATTAAATCTGCTGGCTTCATCTCGATCCAATTCCCTCAACTATTTAGTTAGAGAACGAGTAGCTTGCTAGATTAAAACATTTACACGAAAACTGGGTTAGGTAGGGCACCACTCTATGCTAAAAAAGGGAAAGTTTTGATTTAGGTGGCCATGGGCACATGGACACCAAGAACGGTCTTGTTCTGTGATGTCTCCTAGCTGAACCATTCCTCCCTTTAGCAGCGGGTTAACTTTATAGAGACATATATCATGGTACTCGTAAACTATATTCAACTTATCCAAGCTCAGGTTTCCTCCAAAGATTGACTGGTACCTTGTTCAAGACAAAATTTAAGTACAAAGGTAAAATCCTTCTAATCACTTGGAAGTCTGGCAGAGAATGAAGCGGGGGAAAGTTAGCTCTGCTTTCGAAGAAACAAGCGCCCAGATTAATATGCCGAGGAGTGAAAAGGCTTCTGGGATTATGAATTTTAATATAGAAAATCTCTACCCACAACTGTAAGTTTGAAAATGTAGACTTCACAAGAGACCTAGAGCATATACAAACACCTATCTCCTCCGATAAAAGTATAAATAGATATGATGGACTATATACCCACCAGACGGGTCTCTATTTGAAATTTGACCTGCCCGCTAGGGGCGTTAACGTCACGAATAGTCTAATGTGTAGGGGTGGGTTTGATCACTTCACGACATCAGGGCTATTCAACTAAGTTTACTCTGAGGCCAACATTTTTAAAAAGGGGATCATCAGAGGACAGAGTTCGGAGCAGCAGCATTTAAAGATCAATAATACAATGCAACTGTCAATCATCCGTGGGACCATTTCTAAACCTGCGCGGGCCAAATGTTGCCCGCGGGCCACTAGTTGAATAGCCCTGATGTAGATCAGCATCCTGATTATATGCACAGCATTCTCTTTCTCTCACACGTTCCTCCTTGCCAGATCAGTTCTTAATACCACGCTCCACAGTTTAAAGAAACATGATTAACCACTTCATTAATGTTTATTGCATTGATTTCTCATCTGTATATATTTTTTTTTATTTTAGAAACAGACTACAGATTATTGAAGATTCCAAGAAAAGAGCAGCGTCTTTTTTCTTCTCCTTCTTTTTCTTCTTCTTCTTCTTCTTCTTCTTCTTCTTCTTCTTCTTCTTTTCTTCTTCTTCTTCTTTTTCTTCTTCTTCTTCTTCATCTTCTTCTTTTTTCCTCCAATGACTTAAGTGCATTGTGCCTGTTCACAGTATGGCTACAGTATTTACGCCTTTTAGCTGAAACATCCAACTTTTAAGGCATTTCCTGGATTTTATTTCGGCTATATAATTGTCCATCTCATATTGTCGTCTTATCTTGTCTTTGTGGTTTTATTATTTCGGCTAGATATTTTTTTTAATGCTGTACAATTTAAAGAAATATGATTAACCGCTTCATGATTGTTTCTTGCATTGATTCCTCATCTGTATTTTTTTGTGTTTTAAATCTTAGAAACAGACTACTGATAATTGAGGATTCAAACAAAAGAAGAGAAGCAAGGTAATATTGTCACATCCGTGTGTGATCTTTTCAACTGTAAATATATTCTGTTTACTTGTCATCTTGAATAACCCAAAACATTGATCTGTTTGCCCCATGAAACCTCTCCCTCCTGCAGTTCACTATTGTAGACTTCCCTGTTCACTAGGCCTGCCTTTCCTTCCACAGCTGACTTTAGTAAATCTCCCTGCAGAAGCTGGTAGTAAAGACCATATGTCCTACCCAGCAGAGCTCTGATGGATTTATCCTCTCATCAACTGTCACACTTGTGATGTACCTCATTAACCATAAACATTCAAGTTTACAGTAAATTCATGTTGGATTAAGAATCAACATCACAGCACTCGGGACACTCCCATAAATGCTCTGTCCCCCCTCATCAGCAGCAAGCAAAGAGTTCCAATTCCTATGGTACCAGTAACAGTCTTATTGTATATCCGTCGCATCCTTCCCCTGAGTGTTGAGCGTCAGCCAGATCCCCTGGCAACTCCTCGCAGCGCCATTGTCCTTAGACCTTATTGATCTACCTGCGCCTCCGCACTGTTTACTCGCTCACAAAGGGCCCTCACAATATCTAACTTGTCATACATCAGTTCACCACCAGTGGTGCAAAGCCAGCCTGTCTATCTGCCTGCTCATTTTCCAATATTCATGTGCCTGGGTAATATCTTACCATTGCCAGTTTTGTATTTTTAACTGGGAAGCGGTGGGGACTTTGTGTTCTCTAGTTAATATGGTAGACTCCCCATCTGGGTTCCAGAGCCTCATTTGGGGGTGGGGGGGAATAAATAGACCCACTGCCCTTCTAACAAGCATGTCATAGGAGGCAACTAATTATGGATGTTTCCTTAATGTTGGAGTGCAGCTACCTAAAAAGTGAGGAACCAACAGTCTGTATGCAAAATAAGCCAGATTGTAAAATGGATATGTACATAGAACTTAGGTTCTTGGCCGTGAACACAAAGAAGAAGACTGTGGTAGACAGTGAGTTTTTAAAAAGGAAAGAATGTGTACATATTTTAATGTGGGCATTGATTTCAAGACATATCACAACTTGTTAGAAATAGTACCATCTTAATGATGTTTGTTTTCTGTAAAAATTTAGTTTGCTAGAAGTTTTTCATGCAGTAATTTTCTGATGGTAAGCTTAAAATTTAAAAAAAAAATTAAAAAAGTGCTATTTCCATGTCTAAGCATATTGGATACATTGTGCTAGCCACATATTTAATTATACCAGTGACTATTTGATATTTCAAGTGGTCAGTATTAGGGCTGTACCGAATAGTGATTTTCACTATTCGGCCAAATACGAATAGTGGGACCAACTATTCGGCCAAATGCGAATACGAATAGTGTATCATCATCATCAGGTGCCTTGCCGACTGGCGTGGGCGATCATGCCTCTCCACAATCTGCTATCTCCTGCAGCATGTATCAGTTCGTGGGCTGACACACCTCCATGCCATGCAACAAGACTGTCAAGAATCTTCTGTCTTTGTCTTCCTCTATCCCTCCTTCCACAGATCTTTCCAGTGGTCACCAAATGTTCCATTTTCCCTCTTCTCATAACATTGCTGAAAAATGACGACTGTCTCCTTCTGATGTCTGGGATTAGTTGTCTTCGGACTCCCACCTCTTTCAAAACCATCGTTCGCGCGGCCGTTCGTTCGATGTAGTTTAAATACACCTTCATATTCTCATTAGCAGTATCTTCAAATTTGATTTGGGCGAAGACACCCTGAAAGAACAAAAAATGCATGATCTCTCTCTCTCTCTCTCTCTCTCTCTCTCTCTCTCTCTCTCTCTCTCTCTCTCTCTCTCTCTCTCTCTCTCTCTCTCTCTCTCTCTCTCTCTCTCTCTCTCTCTCTCTCTCTCTCTCTCTCTCTCTCTCTCACACACACACACACACACAGACACACACTCACACACACACTGAGGTTGGCATTTTATACAGTTTGTACCACCCAACCCGGTCGCAGTTTTCCCCGCTAAGACAGACTTAGGCGACAGCAACTATTGTGTTAATGAGAGAGTTATTTCAGAAACGGGAGTAAGATAACCACTATTCGTATTCGGCCGACCGCAACTATACTGAATAGTTATTAGGTCCACTATTCGGCCCCGAAGCGAATATTCGGTACAGCCCTAGTCAGTATCACGACAGTCACTTTTACTACCCAGGAAATTTTCTTATATATCTTTTTTTTTAAACTGGGTTGACCTAAGAGCCTTTTATTTCTTAGTAGAACCGTATTTTGAGTGTTATTTTTATGGTTACACAGGCATAGACATTTCCTCATTACCAATTGTACTTCTTTTTTATACAAAACAGATCTTTCCATTGTCATGAAAACCCATTTTTGTTAGAATAAAACTACTTTTCTATTATTATTGGTACACCCTTTCTTCTTTTTCTTTTCTTCCTCTGCCTTTCTAACCCCCAATGGAGCACAGGACCTCAACAAGCTCACGCGAAGCCGTTCTGTCCTTGGCTATCGTATGCAGCTCTTCACACGTCCTCCCCATCTTTTTTAACTTCACTCTCTAGCTCCATTCTCCATGTTTTTTTTGTTTTTGTTTTTGTTTTTTTTGGTCTTTCTTTATTTCTCTGCCACTGTGGGTTTCCGTGCAACATCATAGCACACCGGGCACCCATAGATGCTTCGTCTCCCGCAGTAGATCTTTTAAGATGTAGATACTAACTGTTCCCATAGCACACTGATCATACACATGTCTTTCTCTTCTCCTCAAAAGTCTCTCCTTGCTGGATCCACTGCTAATTCCCCGTTCACACATTCTTACACATGTAATGTCATCTAATCTCGTGTCTTCTCTCAACATTCTTTCATATATGGTCTTCAGAATATCTCCCTTGTCCAGGGCTAGACTGAATGAATCTGATGCAGTTAAGTCTGTCTGGGCTATCTGAGAGATTCTGAGACAGTTAAATTCTATTTAAGCTATACTGAGAGAATCTGGTGTAATTAAATTAATTCGGCTATCCTCCGACTAACGGTCGGCAAAGATGGCGGCCGCAAAATATCCTTTCAAGCCAGAGTCGTGTGACTTAATTTGCGGTTCTCCGGCTGTTTTCCGGCGACTATCGCCACCGCCACGTGTCCCCCGCGCTGCGTGAGTGGCGTGGAATGGGGCTAAACTAGATGGCTAGGACCCACGAGCAGCAGCCGCGGTGTGCTCGTGACCGCTAGTGCGCAATTGACACACGACTGGTTTGAAAAGATATTTTGCGGACGCCATCTTTGCCGACCGTTAGTCGGAGGATAGCCATTAATTCTTAGTGCTAGACTGAGAGAATCTGATATAATTAAATTAATTCTTAGTGATAGACTGAGAGAATCTGATATAATTAAATTAATTCTTAGTGCTAGACTGAGAGAATCTGATATAATTAGATTAATTCTTATGTTTTTGTTTATTAGACTGAGAGAAGACAATGAAGAGCTTATGCAGCAACACTTATCAAAAATACGACAGCTAGAACAGGAAAAAAGTGACCTGATAGCTTCTCAGTACCACAGACTGGAAGACCTAGAAAGACAGAAGGCAGAAGATTTGGAGAAGTTGAGGGAACAGCATCGGTAAGCTTTTGATGCATTAATTTTCCTTGTCTTTATTCTTACCTTTCCGCATCTATGGCTTAAGGGCGTTGTCACAGTCCCATCCTACTGTAGCTCAAAGACAATTATGATGGTGCTTCAAATTTAAAACCTTAAAAATGTGATAGAAATTACAATAAACATGCCATTGTTTATGTTTATTTGACAGATCAACATCACGGCACACTGCTGTAACCCATAAGTGCTCCATTCTACTTCTAACTCTGGCCTCAGTTTGAAGAATCTCAGTGCAGTGCACGAACCGGTGAGGTTCCTGAAATACTTTGGGTAGATTTTTAAACTCCAAATTTAGCCCAGGCAGCGCCGTTAGGCTACTCTTTTCAATTTTCAACTACCAAGGGATTTGTTACATTTGCAAGAATACACATGGGCGTCCGATTGAGCCACACAAAATGAAGTTTATTTAACACTAAATTTGCCTGTAATTGTGTAGCTGTGTTCCTAAATAATCAGAGGAATAGCACATGTTGGCATGCATGTAGAATACTGCTCGGTGGCCATACTGTTTTCAAACAAACACTTAGTAACTTGGTAAATCTCGCAAATATACTATATTTTGGGCTTTTAACCACGTTTCCGAATGATTGTGATGGTCAGCAGGCCTGATATCAAACACAAGGAACTAGAAAGGAAGTTGAAATTGAGCTGTCTGCGTGTTGTTACTGGTCAGTGGTAAATTAAAAACCTTCACTTGTCACACGCCGATTGGGCCGCTGCTTGTGACCAATTAACATGTGATGCGTTCCTTGGGACTCAAAAAGTTGAACCATATAACAACTAACAAATTCTTGGGTTGGTTTGCATTGTTCTGAAAAGCATATTCCTTTAACTTTTCGAATGAATCTTTACCTGAAATAGCTGTCAAAATTCACAATAACTCACGTCATAAAATTGTTTTGTTGTTAACTTCAGTGAATATTTTATAATTCTCATCACAAAATTTTTTCAGATAAGTTCTGTTCCATGTTTGGCATTTGGCTTTTTGTTTTCCACTTTTTAACACGTTCTTACATGAAAGTCATGGTTAAATAATATCTGTATTTAATTGTACGAGGGATAAAGTCAATAAGTAAGTCACAAATGATCGTTTAAAAATTAACTAAAGACCGTAAAAACTGGAAAACCATTTATTTTTACACCTACAGTATCCCATTATTTTTTAACATAATTTCCACCAACATATATTCACTTGTTCCATCGTTTTATCAATCCTCCCAAAGCTGCTGCATAGAATTGCGTGCTCTGTTTTCTTAACCAAATTTTCACTTCACCTCCAACTTCTGTGTCATTCACGAAATGTCTCCCGCCAAAGTGGGTTTTCAGTGGACCAAAAAGGTGGAAATCGCTAGGGGCTAAGAGGCGGTGATAAGGTGGACATTCAGAAGTTCCCACCCTAGATGATTAATTTTCTTCTGAGTTAACTGAGCCATATGTTGTCTGGCATTTTCTTGAAGGAGCAGTACTCCTCTAGTCAGTAGGGGTGGATGTTTTCTTCGAATTGCATCATGAAGCCTTGATAGAACTTTACAGAATGAATCAGCATTCACATTATCACCTCTTTTTTATTTTTTTAAATTGGTTTGAAGCGCTCCTTGACAGTCTCAGAACACTGCCAGAATAACCTTACCTGCTGATGGCGTAATCTTGAATAAGTAAACACGAGGCAAAGAAGGATGTTTTCATTGCATTGAAGCACGCTTTGATTCAGGCTGGGGGTGATGCAGCCATAATTTCTACTAGTAATAATGCTGTTCAACTTATCTTCTCTTTCATCCTTATGAATGTCCTTTGCAGGCAGCAATCCCCCCCCCCTCCCCAACACAACAAATGTGCACACCAGCAGATTGTTCTGTGAGGGTACACTCCGTAAGCACAGTTGCCATTTTGTTTCTGTGTTGTGAATGCGCATGCAACACCTAACGCCACCTGACGAGTGGAGACATAAAGTTTAATGTTGCTGTCACCTAATGACACCTTTAGAAACCACCAGCTGTATTTTATGCCATTTCTTAACCATTTGTGACTTACTTAAGAAAGAAAATAAGGGCTTTTGAGCTGAAATGCTATAGAAAGATTCTCAGAATACCATTGTCAAAGAGGAATATAAATACAGACATCCTTAAAGATCAGAACATCAATTAAGATTAGCTAATAAATAGCAACTTGTCTCAGAAAGTAAAATATTTTGGCCATTTCAAGCGCCATGGCAGGTTGGAAAAAATTAAAATCCAATGCATGGTACCAGGAAAGAGAGGCAGTGGCTAACCAGCATGAAGATAGGCACAGGATAAGGCACAGGATATCAGTGACACCCAGATTAGGAAAGGGTACAAGGCAGGAGAGCTGGCGAGAAACAAAGTTTTTTTCAGGCAGACCATGATGAGAGCGACATTCTGCAAAGGACGTGCTACATGAGGATGATGATTTAGTTGTATACACTTGTCTCTTGAGACAATGGCCCAGGTTCAATCCCCCAATTTTTTTTCCTGACCCATTACCTCTCTGGAGTTGACACCCAGCATAAAAATTGGTACCAGATAATTTCTAGAATTTCTGGGAATTGTCTGGGATGGGAAGATTTAAAAAAGTGGGGGGGGGGGGTGTGTCTGGCCACTGTGCTTGATATGTTGTGACCTAAAATATGTGAAGGCCAGATACTTCATATCCCAACAGCAGTGTCTTCTCTGGGACGACCTGTTTGAATTACTTTGTTACAATATCTTCCTCATCATAGTCCCAAAGCACTAAATAAACAGAGGGGGGGAAGCGAGGCGCACAGGCCATGTGAAGGTGACAGGTTTGATTCCCAGCATGTTAGCTATAGCTGTTGATTTTTAAGTTGTCTAGTTTGTCCTTTTGTCTTTCTACTTCTTTCTATAAGTGCCGATCAATACATTGTCTGTTTGTTTATTATATGTAATATCCCATAGCATGCCAGGTTGTTGGTTCACCAGCTGCTGTTTAACTCTTTGAGTCCCAAGGAACGCATCATATGTTCATTGGTTCCTACCTAGAAGCCCATTAAACGCATGATACGCCGATTTTATTACTTTCTTTACTACCCCCTGGGCCTGTGATGCTAAATCCCCTGGGACTCAAAGAGTTAATCAGTTCCCTCCATCTCTATTAGTCAGACATGATCAACTTGATGTTTCCATGTTTGAGGCCTGCTCACTCAGACATATTCAGGTTCTGAGTCTTTCTTGTTCTGGCTCTTCCCATCCTCCTCTGTAGCCTGCCCTGTAGTATCATTGTGAGGAGGCCTGTAGATCTTATTACATGTCAGTACAATAATTCCTTTTCCATCTTTTGCTACCATTTTATACTTACATTTCTTCTTCTATGCGTTCACCGGCTGTAAACTCTGGTGGTATGTTCTGGATGTTCGTCCACCTCCAGATTTTAGTCTTGCTCCAGAACCTTAGTGTTGAGTGCACATCCATTTCACAAATCTGGCTTATTTGTACGCAGACTTGTGGTTCCCTGCCTCTCAGGTAGATGTACTCCGACTTTGAAGGATGTCCCCAATTTGTCAACTCCTGCGACATGCTTGTTGGGGAGGCAGTGGGTCTATTCTAGTTTTCCCTACAATGGGGAACTGCACGGGGAATGCTTACATTTAAACTGTGTACATCTCTCCCATTCTGAAGGCTGACAATGGTTGCTTTAAAACGAGATCATGAAGAAGCACTGGAACGACTGGCAAGTGCCAAAAATCAAGAGATCAACATGATGGCAAATGCTAATGACACTTCAAAGTAAGTATCATGATAATATTTATCTGTACTAGAGGTACTATTTCTTGTTAGTCACTGAGTGCTATTCAGAATAGAGGATAGGCACTGATTTGAGTCTGTCGTGGCACATTTTTGCTTCTGACAGGTGGTGGCTGTTGCATTTTCCTCCATTAGTAGACTGAAGGAATATAGTTTTGTCACCCAGCTACTAAGTTGAATGCATGGTGCAACACTGTAAGCTGCAGATTTCATTTGGAATGTTATTCGACCATGACCAACATGGTGTTATGAACCGTAGATTCAGAAAATGGTGAGTTGCCACATAATTAGTGGTGCTTTATGTGATTAAAATTAATTGCATGTACAATTGCTGATCTGTTTGTTACTACTGCTTCTGAGGATGATGAACTAAATTTCTAAATGTTGGACTGTTTGTGTTAGCACTTCTGATGGCTGCTTTATGTTTTTAATACATGTGCATACTAGTGGATATGCTGAGACTGCAGTCTATGTTAATTTTTCCACAAGGAACAGTGATAGACATTCTTTGTGGTTTTTGTTTGCACAGGAGTGGAGTAACTATATGGTGACCTGTTTGCTATGAGGCTGAAACTTATGATTACCAGAAATCTGGTCACTGACATCATCATCATGTAGCAGGTCCTTTGCAGAACATCGCTCTCATCACAGTCTGCTTGAAAGAAACTCGGTCTCTCGCCAGTTCTCCCGACTCATGAACTTTCACACTCAAGGATTCACTTATATCCTGTGCCCATCTTCGTGTCGGTCGGCCCCTGCCCCTCCTTCCTGGTACCATGCCTTCTGCTATAATTTTTTCCAATCCGTCGTGGCGCTTGATATGACCAAAATATTTCAGCTTTCGAGAAAAGATGCTGTTTATTAGCCAATCTTCCTTGATGTTCAGATCTTTTAAGATGTCAATATTTCTTATCTTCCTTTTCCAAGATATTCTGAGAATCTTTCTATAGCATTTCAGCTCAAAAGCCCCTATTCTCTTTCTTAAGGACTGAGAGATAGTCCACGACTCACATCCGTATGTAGCCACAGGGAAGATGCATGCTCTCAAAATTCTAATTTTTATCTCCATGCTGGTGCTTAACCATAGACTTTTAAGGCTGTTCAATCTTTGCATTGCTATGGCCATCCTCCTTTTAATTTCTGTCGAACAGTCTCCATTGTTGTTTATTATAGAGCCTTGATATTCAGAGTTTGTGACATTTTCAATTTCTTCATCATTTATTGTTATGTCACTGACAGTTCTTTAAATTAATTCCTGAGTTTATGTTTTATTTCATCTTTGTGATTGTATTCTTTCATAATCGTATTGATCTTTTCAGTTGTCTTATTCATGTTTGTGGTTGTCTTGTTTCGCTATTTAATTTCTTCTTCTTCTTCTTCTTCTTCTTCTTCTGCCTACTTTTTTTTCTTTTTTTCTTCTTCTTTGTCCTCTTCTGCCCCTGCTGCTGCTGCTCCTCACCCTTCTCTTCTTCTTCATCTTCTTCTTTTTTCTTCATCTTCTTCTTTGATTCAAGGACGTTACTATATTGTGCCTGTTCACGGCATGGCTTTAATATTTGCGGCTTTTGGCTTACACCTTATTCAGGCATTTGTTGTCTAAGTTAACTTTCCTGGATTTTATTTCAGCTATATAATTATCTGTCTCATATTGTCGTCTTATCTTATTTTTGTGGTTGTATTATTTTGGCTATGTTTTTTTTTTTTTGGGTGTTTTTTGGTTGACATTGTTATTAAGCATTTTTTTGCATCTGTGGCTTAGGCAACGTGAATGCGCTTCATAATGCTGGGGTGTCAGATTCAATTCTAACTGCAGGCAATTTGGCAGCAGACCTTATTGCATTTGTTTTGACAGTGGTATCGAGAGTCGACTCTTCAGAAAACAGTAGCAAACTACTGAATGTAAATTTACCTAGAAAAACCACAACAGCCAAACAAACAAAGCCAGTGTTGGTTGTGCGACATCCTGTAAAGGATACACAATTAGCATTTTCATTTGGTATTACTTTTTTTTTTTTTTTTTTTAAACATAACTATACCACATAAATGTGGGCTTTCACGTGGGGGATTACAGTTTTTGATATCACCATTTGACATCACTGTTTCATATCACTGTTTCATATCACTATTTGGCATTGTTTGACATCACCATTTGATATCATTATTTGACATCACATTTTTGATATCACCATTTGACATCACTGTTTCACATAACTATTTGGCATTATTTTTTGACATCACCATTTGACATTGCCATGTGACATCACAATTTGACATCACTCACAGTTTTTGATATCACCATTTGACATCACTGTTTCACATCACTTTTTTGCATTGTTATTTGACATCACCATTTTACATCACTGTTAATGTCTGTTATGCAACCTATCTAGAAGCCTGACTGCTGTGGTACAGCAGATACAGAACAATGCCAGGGACTTGGAAGAACTGCAAGTCAAAATACAGAGTTGGAACAAACAAGGCCTGGATGAAAGAGAAATATCTTTTCGATCCAAAGATGAACAACTGAGAAGTATGTGCCATTGTCTTAGAAAATATGTTTGTTTTGTATAGGATCTCTTCTTCTTTTTAGCATTCACCGGCTGTAAACCATGGTGAAAAGTTTTGGTTGTCCATCAGCTTCTGGACTTAAGTCTTGTTACAGAACTTGAGTTTTGCATGCATATGCATTTTACAAATCCGGCTTATTTATGTAGAGATTGTTGGTTACACCTCTCTTAGGCAGATGCACTCCATCTTTGAAGGAAACGCTTCTGATTAGTCACCTTTTAGAGGAGGCAAGGTGCAGTGAGTCTTGTTGTTTTTATTTAAAATAGGACCCGCAAACCCACATGGAGATGTGTAGGATCAACTTCATTCTTCCTCACTTCCTCTCTTACCCTCTCTTACCACTTCAGGTGTCGGGGAAAAGATAAGGTTCTGATTTAACCATAGGCACATGCTGTTTTAGAGTTTCCATCTTGCTCTTTGTCTACCTCATGCTGTACATTCTTCTCCTCTTTTGGTACATGGTGTGAGGTCATAATGCATTCTCTCTAATTAGGCAAACCATTTTATTTGCCGTCTTTGTATGTAATTTAGAATTGGTTATGTGCAGACTTTTTCTCCTATGGCATCATTCCTGATCTTATCTCTTCTGGTCACTCCTGCAGACCTTCTCAGGCATCTCATTTCAATGGATACCTAATTTTATTTTCCGGTTTGTTGTGAGTGACTATGCATGGCACTTGTGGCATGGGGTTGGAATGAATATGCTTTGTATTACATACTAATGTAACCACATCAGCTGTGGTCTCGAGGCATGGTGTCCACCTTGAGTGCTCGAGGTTCCGGGTTCAATCACTGGTAAGGGCTGGGAATTTTTGTAGTAATTCCCCCTGGTCTCTGGGTAGTGAGATCGGATGCCCGTATGCATTGTTGCACACATAAAAAATCCCTTGGAAGTTGGAGAACAAAAAGAGTGGACTAACGGCACTGCGCAGGCAAAATTTATAGTTAAAAATCTACCCAAAGAATTTCAGGATCCTCGCTGGTGCTACAGAGCCTGTTCACTGTGCTGAGCTTCTTCGGACTCAGACTTGAGTTAGAAGAAGAACGGAGCACTTATGGGTTACTACCCGTGTGCCATGATGTGGATCCGTACTTCAAACCTCAAACATAACCACATTAGCACTTCTCACCCACTGGAAAATATATGTGATAAGAAAACTAACTTCAGTTAATCTAAAGTAAAAGTAATAATTTACTCTTTTTCAAATCTTGTGGCACATTAAAAAAATATTCAGTATTTTATAGACTGATCTGATCTGTCTTGTGTGTATCATGTGATCACTTTACACTTTTCTGTGGCTGGTTAATCTTTGTGGCTGTTTTTTTTAAACACAATGAGGTAGCCAATTTCAGACCCTATGTTACCCTTAGTCGCCTCTTACAACATGTCTGGCAGGGTACAGTGTTACTACTGTTTGCAAATTATTCGCCATTTACAACTTACTTGTTGGGGTGGGGGGAAGAGCAGTGGGTAATTTCTTTTTCAACTGAAATAGGGCCCTGGAATCCGGACAGATATGTGTAGGACTTAAACCATTTAACTTTTGTGCAGGATCGGCTGCACTATGTACTAAAATAACTACTTAAGTACTTCTCTATTCTTTAGTCCATATTCTGCTTTTTGCTGCTTTGTGGTGGGTTTTTGTGGCTATTGTTTTTAAAGAATAGGTAACCGATCCCTACCCTTAGTAAGGACAAGCCTGGTAGGGTGTAGTGTTACTATTCTTTACTTCCCACTCATGCTCCAGAAACACACAGGTGCCATATCAGACTAGCCAGCTATATTTTCCAGAATATTTTCTGGTAACCAGTTTTGTGCAGCTTTGAGTTTGTAAAAGGGGTGAGGGGCATTTCAAATTCTAAAAATCTTCCTCAGCAGAGATTTGATTCTACGGTCACCAGGCAAGCACCTTCAATCGTGTGCAGTCCTCTAGATATCATGGATGGAATTGAGTCCAGCACCTTTGGCCTTTTACAGCGACAATAACCTTAGGGTGTCTCTTTATTGTTCTCATCTCTTTAATGTATTTGAGTCTCATTTTAGTACCTTTTTAGTGATTCCCTGTCCACTTCTCATGTTGTGCCAAGTAATTTACCATCTTCTTTTTTCTAATAACTCTTGATGCAAGCGGTTGTCCAGACGTTAGTGTTATTTCTTCACCTTTGTAATACTTGTCATTAATCAATATTATTCTTGACTGGGGGAGAATTTCAGTATGTATCATTTGCACACTCGCAGTTATTAAATTATATTGATTAGCCTGATGTTGTCATATTTGTATATTTTTCAATTAAATAGATTGACCTCATTTCCCAGGTCAGCCCAGCTTAAAAATAGATACTAGATAATATCCTCTTAAATAAAGGTCAGCAGTGTAATGATGACCTCATCGTACACACCGAGTACCAGTTCATCTATAAAATGTTGAATGTCGAATTAAGAATTGACATCACAGCACTGGGGACACTCCCATAAGTGCTCCGTCCCCATCTTCAGCAGCAAGCGAAGAGTTAAAATTCTGATTGTACCAGTAACTGTCTGATTGTATATCCGTCTCGCCTTTCCCCTGAGTGTTGAGCGTTGGCCAGATCCCCAAAAGGCCCTCGCAACATCCAGCTTGTCATACATCAGTTCACCACTAAGTGGTGCAAAACCAACCAGCCTATCTGCCTGCTCATTTCCCAACACACTGGCATAACCTGGGGGAAATATCCAAAGGATGGTAACTACCCGGGACCTTTTAAGGGATGCTTGCCACTCTGCACTGAGCATGCTTTTCTTCACCTTTCTCAACATGCTCTGTGAGTCAATTACAATCACTGCATGTGTGTACAACTGATTCTCAAGCCAGTGGAAGGCAGCAGTGACTGGCCACCATTCTCAAACTAGATGTTGTGATGTCATGATCTATTAAAAATCTGAGTCTAGCATGATATGTCTGATGTACTACTGGTGCAGAAAAGTTCATTACCTACTGACTGAGCTTGAGGTTTAAACAACGGATCAACATCATGGCACACGGGTAGTAACACATTAGTGCTCAGTTCTTCTTCTTACTCAAGTCTGAGTCCGAAGAAGCTCAGCACAGTGCACAGGCTCTGTAGCGCCAGCGAGGATCCTGAAATACTTTGGGTAGATTTGTAACTCTAAATTTTGCCTGGGCAGTGTCGTTAGGCTACTTTTTTCGATCTTCAACTGCCAACAATGCACACAGGCGTCTGAACTCACTACCCAGAGACCAGGGGGAATTATTAGAAGTCCCAATTGCACGTGAAAAAGTCCCAGCCCTTACTGGGGATTGAACCCGGAACCTCTAGCACTCGAGGCGGACACCATGCCTTGAGACCATGCAGCCCCCTACTAACTCTGCTATTAAATGACATATTTTAGTTTTACAAGAGAGGTTGAACAAGCAAGCCGAGGACAATGATAGAGAGAGAAGGAGGCTGGAAGATTTGATTGCACAGATGGAGACCCAGCTGAAGGAACAGACAAGAACTTTAGAAGAGGTTTGTGTACATGCTTATGTTGTTTCTCACTTGATGTATTTTTATTATTTGGAAGAATGTTCTCAATGTGGAAGAGATCACCATGTTCTAGAAAGAATGAATGTTGAACTAGGAATTAACATCACAGCACTCAGGGCACTAACAAAAGTGTTCAGTCCCCATGTTCAGCAGCAAGCAAAGAGTTCCAGCTAGAAGGACTGATAAAAATTAGAGTGGCTTGAATAGCAGGTAGAGTCAGTGCTCAGAGAAAAGGCAAGTTGAACATATCAGACCACACTGGGCATCATTAAAATGAAACTCTGCCATTGAGGTGGAACTTTTCTGTTGTGTACTAATTTTTGTCCTCTCAGAGTTGCTTCCTGAAGATTTGAGGGATAGATTTAAAACCGAAAGCAAAAAGTATAATAATAAAATAAACACAAACAAAATGTGAACATTGCAGCTATAAAGCCTTCTTCAGCACATACACAAATTAGACAATACTACACAAACACACAATATCACTTATCTTCGTTATCTTGTGGCAGCCAGGTCGATGTAAAGACAATAGTCTGGCAAGGCATGTGGGGCCAGGAAAATAAATACCCGGCGATATTCTAGGGCCGTCACTCGAGGATAAGATTAAACTGTTGGGCAGTTCAGCCTCCCAGGATTTAGATGAAGCTGTGTTGGCAGTTAAGTCCACTGGGTGCCAGAGTTCCCAAAGTGTATATAAAGCGATTTTCAAGAGACTTGCGAACTTTGCCGCTGGAGTGGCTAAATTTAGTGGCTGTCACCTCCATTTCATGGACACCTTGGTGGTCCTGGGAACTGAAATGCAGTGGTACTGGTTTTCAGAGCGCCGTTTTGTACATCCAAAAGATGTCTGTTTCCTGAAGATTTGGCACTGAGATTACAAAATCTCAGTGTGGATGGCAGACCTACAGGGCAAAAGCCCAGATAGCCTGTTCTTCTTCTTATTTCTTTTTTGTTCACTGGCTGTAAGCTTTGGCAGAACTCCTGGTTCTTCATCCATTTGTACTTTGTGCCAAGGTCTGAGTTTTGCATGTACATCCATTTTACTGGCTTATTTGTGTGCAGCTGGTTGTTCCTTGCCGCTCGGGCAGATGCACTCCGACTTCGAAGGAAGTCCCCAATTAGTCGACTCCTACGACATACTTGTTGAGGAGGCAGTGGGTTTATTCTTGTTTTTCCTCCACAATGAGGCCCCAAAACCCACACAGGCAGCCTATTCAGCCACTGAAGAAGATATAACTAGGGCACATTGCAGTACTGTGGAGAGTGGGTCAAGGATCTCATCATTGCACAGTAATGGCTGAAGATTGGAGGGAGCTGTTATGGCAGTGCTCCGAGGTCTCTGATGTTGATTCCTAATTCTTAATTGTTTTTCGCTACTTAATCTGCTTTCTTAGGCCATTTTATTCAATCGGAAGGCTTGTTATGATGTTTTTGAGTATGTGACAATCGCATAAATCAAGGTGTAGGACTGTTCCTAAACAAAAACTAATGTGGTAATTTCTCCTCACCTTTCACACCTGTATAAGAGATGTATATGTTGCAATAGACCATAATCATCTATCCTCGGGCCCTTTACAGAATGCTGCTCTTTAAGGCACGCTTGAGAGTCTCTCTTTCTCCAACCCTATGTGCTTTCCTAGCCAATGCATCAATGTCTTGTATACACTTTCGCGGAAATCGGCCTCTTCATTATTTTCCAGAAACTGCGACCTCCATTGACTCTCTTTCCAGACCACTGTGACGCTTAACATGGCCAAAATACCTAAGCTTTCTGGATAGGATGCTGTTTATGAGCAAGTTCTCCTCAATGTTCAAATGATGTATGATGGTGTTTGTCTTTTTCTTGGTCTACGGCATTCACTGAATTTTTATTTTTTATTATTATGGATAGATGTTCTGATTTTCTTAATTTTGCCAGTGAAGTTAGCAACAGCGTCAATATCTTTACAAATTCCAGCTATTGAGGATTCTTTGATATGCTTAGGGATGCAGAGATGCTCAAACACACACATAGCGGTGCACCAGGACTAGGGCTCGTACTTGTCAAGATCCATCTACACCTCTTCACAGTCATCCTAAAAACAGTTCCTATCTGGGAACCTGGCCTGTATAGATGGCATTGATGTTTCCTCTGAAGTTGAAATGCATCTGCCTGAGAGGCATGGAACCAATAATCTGCACACAAATAAGCCAGATCTCCAAAATTGATGTCTAAGCAACACTCAGGTCCTGGTGTAGAAATGGATGAACAGCCAGGACTTTCCACCGAGTTTATAGATAGTGAGTGCTAAAAAGAAGAAGATAAAATGCTCACTATGAATACATAGCCTCAGTTTTTTTTTGCTCGGATCCCAGAAAGCGACTTACCTGATTCAGAAACAAGCACTCAGGAAAGAATGCACATCTTTAGGATCTTTCATCTTCTTCTTCTTCTGCCCTTCTTCTTTCCTTCTTTAGGAAAGGCCCTGAACCAACTTGCACCAGTTTATCCTATCCTTTGCCATTGTGCATAGCTGACCTCAAGTCACCCTGTGTCTTGTTCTCTTCATTTCCTAGTCACTTTTTCCATGTATTTTTGGGCTGCCTCCATTCCTGACTGAATGGATTCCAGTGCAGTAGATCTCTAATTGTACTGTAATAAGGTTTTCTCAATGTGTGTCCTGCACAGTCTCACTTCCTCACTTTTTAATTCTTTTCTAAAGTTTCACATAAGTGATTCCATCACAGTCCTGAATTGCCTCTATACTACACAGGCACCAGTTAAAGAATCTCCCAGTCTACACAAAAAAGTTGATACTGCTATACTGAGGTTGGTACTACCATAGCAGTTACTGCCTTTGTTTGTTTCTGAATATTTTTTTTTAAAATAAAATAAAACTAGGAGCGCTGGAAACTGAAACAAGATCAGAGCAGATTGGAGGCTCAGCAAAGATCATTGGAAGCTGAAAGACAACAGTGGCTCGAGCAGCAGACTAGAGATAGAATCAGCTTGGAAAGAGCTCGGGTGAGTTCTTACTTTTAAATATATCACATATTTCGTTCTAATGTAAAGAAATATAAAAGTAACGCAAAGGGCCCTTTTTATACCAGATTTGCATAGCGAAGGCGAATGGATGTCGCTTGGTGCAACAAAGCCTGGCAAATGATATCATAACGTCTAGTTTGAGAATGGAGGTAGAGGCAGTCACTGCTGCCTTCCGCTGGCTTGAGAATCAGTTGTACACACATGTCATCATTGTAGCTGACTCACAGAACATGCTGAGAAAGGTGGAGACAGGCATGCTCCGTGCAGAGTGGCAAGCATCACTTCAGAGGTCCCAGGTAGTTAGCATCCTTTGGATATTTTCCACAGGTCATGCTGGTGTGTTGGGAAATGAGCAGGCAGATAGACTGGCCAGTTGTGCACCACTTGGTGGTGAACTGATGTATGACAAGCTGGATATTGTGAGGGCCCTTTGTGAGCGAGTGAACAGTGCCAAGGAACAGATAGATCATTACGGTCTGAGGAGACTGGCACTGCGAGGAGTTACAAGGGGATCTGGCCGATGCTCCACACTCCACAAAAGGCGAGACAGATACAATCAGACAGTTACTGGTACCATCGGAATTTCAACTCTTCGCTTGCTGCTGAAGATGGGGACGGAGCACTTATCGTAGTGTTCCAATTCTGTGATTTCGATTCTTAATTCAACATTCAACATTTGCATCTGGCATATGAGGCTAGCCTCATATTTTTATAGACCTATTGGCACCTATTGGTCCTTCTTAACGATATGCACATACACACGCAAACATAGAATAATGAACCCTGTTTTTGTAATCTTTTCTGTTGTTTACCAGTAACCATATTTATACATTTTAGGAGAATTATCTCGAGGAGCAGAGCCGATACCTGGCCCAGATTAGTGAGGAGCGTCGCATGCTTACAGAGGAGAGAACCAGGTTTCAGGTGGAGCAGAAAAGTCGGAGGGATAAAGACCATCAAGATGCTATTAAGAGAAGTCAGGTGTGTAATAGATTGAAACATGATTTAAAGCCTTTGTATCAGAGTGATTAAGCATACTCGCTTGAGATAAGTTTAACTTTAAAATTGTTGATTTTCTTTTACACTTCTGTGTTATAAAAATACTAGATTTAATTGCCAGGCTTTGCATGTCATAGTGAAAGTCTTATTCACCCGTCCTTTACCTCATTAGTGATTTTCAAACAAGGAGCACCCCAGTCAGCAAAAGTCTTATCAGTTGCCTTAACAGCCTCTCCTCCTGTGCCGCCTCTCCTCCTGAGAAACACATTCCATTTATGAGATAACGCCCATTTTTAAACTTTTTTTTTAAAAATTTGGAAAAAAATATATCGTCTTTAAACAGAAAAATAAGGTTAATGTATTAACGATTACTTTGATTGACACTTTTTCATTGGCTGTTGCTTGTTAGGCTGAGGCAGACTATGAATTACTGATGAGAACAATAGCAGAGGAGAAATCCTACCAAAGCACTCGCAAACAAGAACTGCAGAGAGAAGAGGAAAGAATAGCACTGGAGAGGAGCAGATTAGATAGAGAGAGAAAGATGCTTGAACAAGATCAAGAGAAGCTCGCAGCTCAGGCACGACAGATCAGGGAGCAGTCAGAACAGATAGATCATCTGACGGAGGTAAATTGTCTCCGTGATTTTATTTGTTTTTCCTTTCTGGCAACATGACTAAGATGGCTGCTAATATTCCCAGCATTCATTTTGAACATTTGAAGTTGTAAGGGGCAAGAAGTAAAAGAATGTTAAAATTTGTTACCTGAATAGGAAATGAATAAATGGTCTTGGTTTTTTTTTTTTTTTTTTTTTTTGTTGCTTTTTTTTTCGTATTTAAATTTCTAAATTTCTACCTTGTCCAACATTTGTAACTCTTTCAGTAACAAACAGTGGTGTTATTGACAATAACTTGTAGGTCCCAATGTCGGTTGCAATTTTTGGTTGTTTTAAAGCCCCACCTCGGCTGTTGCCCGGGGCCCTGAAATAACCAAACATATGGGTTGAATGGGGTTTTTGGGACCTATCCCCATGTGATCCTCATTTGAATGGTGGCACTTTGTTTCACCAGGTGTTTGTCGCTCGGTGCGATGTCCTGGTGGGGTTAAACGTCAGTCAGTGTTATTGACTCTTCTCTTGAATCCCAACCAGAAGAATGGTCAGAAACATGATAAAGAAATCTGGCCACTTCAGTAGCATTAGATTTTTGCTTCGATGAAATGAAAGTTGTGATTTCCTACAGAAGTTATTTCTGACTTTTGATCTCACTGCTGCATAGCCTTCTAGGACAGTGAGATAAGGCAGAGGTTCCCAAAATGGACTTGATGGCTCCTAGGGTGTTGAATATATTTACAGAGGGAGACAGTGAGGTTTTGTGTGTAAAAGATCACATTGGTTATATATAAACCCATAAATCACATAATGAAATTCTCAGCATAAACAGTGTAGCGCTGTTAAGGATCTTCTTCTTCGCACTTTACACTGTTGCTCCGAGAACTCGCTAAACATACACATCTGAGTGTGTCCAATTCCCCATTAATGTCACTTTTCCTACCTGTTTACAGGGAAATGTTTATAAGACACATAGTTATTGCTATTGACTGAGTTCATGCCTGCAAAAATATTTAGGAGGTCAGGATATGAAAATATTAGCTTTAAGTAGCATTGAGGGGTTTTCCGGGAAACCAGATAGCTTTTGTAAAGAAAGACAAGTTGACATCAGATTTTCTCTGTAAGCCCGAGCGATAGAGGTGAAGAGTCACAGCATGAGTCACCCGATACATATTTTGTTTAAGCGAGAAGAAATATATTCCAATTAGTGCTTCATTATGTTTATGCTTATTCATTAGTCCCTTGTTATATTTTTTTATATCTGGGGAGAACTGAAAAGTACATTAAAAAAAACTTTTTTTTTAAAAATTTATTACTGACCTGTGTAAACTTGTATTCAAAGCAATTTTTCAGGGCTTCCCACCCATTTGCTTTTAGTGTTACCAGGGTGACCAGGTTAAAAGGGTGGTTGGCACATTGTGTTGTGGTTTACAGCTAGCTACGATATCTGAGCCTTTTAGCTCATCACCTTGGATGATGTCAGCAAGTGCCTTTCACAGCATGTTTTTAGGAGGCAGTTGGTCTTTTTTTTTTTGTGTGTCTTCTTCTACCAAATGGGTCCTTAAAACCCACAGGGGGAGCAATGATGTTAATGTATATATATACCAGAAACCCACATGCTTTTATGAATATTTCTGTTTTGTGGGAAGGGGCTTTCTCATTTAGAAATGTAACCTAGGAATTGTCCTATTTGCCCTTTTTTATTTTTAACTGCTAAAAAAAAAAAAAAAAGAAAGATATTTCTAAATCATAAATTATATACCAAGAGGTTTTGAAAGAGGCTTGAGCCTGAAGACAACTTATCACAGACATCAGAAGGCAATAGTCATCATTTTTCGGCCATGTTATGAGAAGAGGGAAAATAGAACAGGTTGTGACCACTGGAAAGATTTGTGGAAGGAGGGATAGAGGAAGCCAGCGGGAGAAGATACTTTACAGTCTTGTTGCATGGCATGAAGGTGTGTCGGCACACGAATTGATGCATGCTGCAGAGATCGTAGATTGCAGAGAGGCATGATCGCCCACACCAGTCGGCAAGATACCTGATGATGATGAAATTATACCTGTTAATTATAATTCTCTTTTTGCCTTTATCTGAGAAGACATGTTATCTAATCCACTGCTGCATAACTAAGGGAGAGTATAATAATATCCTCTGGTTTCTTAAGATGAAATCTAAGCATTTATTTTATTGTTTTGATGGTAATTTATTGTGTACCATCCACAATACTTGTTTTTTGTTTGTATAGTATTATAGTATTAATTTCTGACTGTGGTAAAAATTTTAAAAACCCGGTCGCATTTTCTGCCTGCATCATTCATGATTTATTAGATCATTCAGGTTAACATGCAGTGATTGCCTGTCATCACTGATGACTTGTATGTGGCCTTTGGCCTGTGACTAATCCTCATATAAATAAAGGCCTAGCCCTATATGCCAGGTATGCCTGAAGGCGCCAAAAGGGGTCCTTTTAAACATCATATATGAAACTCAAGCTGAAATCTCATTCTGGATGTGATATGTTGATTTTGGATTTTAAAAAACAGGCTGCCCGGCACTCACAGCAGGATGGTGAACAAGCACTAGAGGAAGCAGCACAGTACAGAGCCCACCTGGAGAAGAAGGAGTTGGAGCTACAGAAGCAGCTCAATGGGTTCAAGTCAATGGAGGATCATATCGCTCAGGTGGGTTTAATCAGACTGTTGCCATCTTCACAGTCCTCTAGCTGGAGGCTGTCTAAATGCCTTCTTGTGACCTCAGGTGCATGCTTGCTTCCTAACAGTTACTTTGTTCAAACCTGCCACACATCTTAGTATAACTTGCATTTAAACCATAAGAATAGGTTTCATAACTGATTGTATTATGTAATACAGGCCAGTTCAACTGGTAACCCACTGGCTAAATCTGGCCCACAGAGGCCTGGTAAGTGGGCCATGGATTTTTGCCAGTTGTACTGTATTAACGATCTTTCTATGCTTGGGCTCAAGCCTCTAGCCAGTGACGCAAAATTATGACCCCTGGCGAAACGTAGTTGAATAGCCCTGATGTAATGCATGTTATTAACTCATATTATTAATTATTTTTGTTCTTCATTAACCTGTACAACTTATTAGTTTGTGTTGTACTAACTTTTACTGTTAACTATGTAACATGTAGTATTGTTTAGTGGTGTCATGATTTTGGTCACAAGCATGAGGAAAAGTTGAGGCTGTTTTGTTTTGTTATGATTTGGTGGGTGAGCCCAGTACCAGATCACCATATGCTGGCTCTGCATTTATGGAAGCCTCCTTTGATGGCAGGGAATGCCCTTGACTACCCCTGCCTTCGCTTGAGGAGTGTTACAGCATCTGTTTTCACAACCGAACTAACTAGGTAGCACAATGAGAGCCTTGGAGACAGCAGCAGAAAATCTGCCGCTAAAATTGTCAATAATGACAGATTCTCTTTTATCGGTACTGTCACTGGGAATCTGAACCAAGGAAAGTAGACCAGACATTAAAGAGGAGGTGTTAACACTAATTATACAACTTAGTAACAACTGATGCAAGATTACCATAGCATGGGTAACCAACACATAGAGGCATAGTCTGTAATGAAATGGCAGACATTTTTGCTAAAAAGAGGTTGGCATCTGTGGCTTAGGCATTGCGGACAATTTGTCTTGTACTGGTTTTGACAGTGGTACTGGGAGCTGACCGTTCAGAAAACAAAGGCAAACTATTGAATGTAAAATGTGCCTAGAAAAACCACAACAGCCAAAAAATGCTGGGGTTGGTTCTGCAGCATCCTGTAAAAGATATGCAATTAACCAGCAGCCATAATATAATAGAAACAGACCTAGACAAAAACAGATTGGAGGAGTCAAATCAAACAGTATGTTGCAGGAATATGGAAGAGACAGGGAAATGAGTGCCAGAGGCAGAAGGGCATGCACACATTTGAGAGAACCTACCCTGACATCACAAGTCTCAGACAATCTAACAATTCCAGCAAACAACAAATTATGGAGATTAAGACTTGGATGCTGGAAAGCCATATTTTCAGCACCCTTACGCCTAGATTGCTTTCAGGATAACACAATAGACCACTTACATTAGCCATGGTCATCCCCTTGTGGGATTCAATTTTTCATTGTTTTTAAGCCCCACCCTGGCTCTTGCCAGGGGCCGCAATTTAGCCCGGCCATATATATGGCCCAATGACTGAATGCGGACCTCTCCACGAGTGATTCTCATCCACATGGTGGCGCTTTGTGTCACCGCAGGTTTATTGCTTGTGTGATGTCTGGTGGGGTAAAAACTTTTTACTACAATAGATCACTTGCTGCTAATATGTACCCTATATAAACAGGAAAGATAACCCCTGGAAGATTATTTTCAAAAAGTAAATCATCATCATCATCAAGTGTCTTGCTGGGGTAGGTGTTCATGCATCTCCACAGATCTCAGTCTTTGGTGTTCTGGATCAATTCCACTGATGATATTCCTCCATCTGTCTTAAGCCATTAATCATCATTTCTCTTGTCTGCCTCTTCTGCTAGTGATCTATCCACTCATCATGATATTTTCCAGTACTTCTTTTCCCATCATATGACCAAACAACTCTGTTTGTCTCCTTCTCATTGTTGTTTATAATGTTCTACTTTCATTGGCCATTTCCAGGCAATCTTTGTTAGTTATTCTGGCAGTTTGAGGTATTCGCAACATTCTTCTCAAGAACCACATCTCAGTTGCCTCCAAACTCTTCTTAATCTGTTTGCTCACATTCCACGATTCACCGCCATACAGAAGAGGCTCGATATAACATTTCAGTACTCTTTTTTCTGATGTTTAATAAGAGTGGTTTATTACATAAGATACTTTTCATCTTCTGAAATGCTGCCTTTGCCTGGCCTCTGTTAATTTCTGTCACGTATCTGATGTTATGAATGTCCCCAAATATTTGATTTATTGACTTGGTTAAGCACTTTCCCTTCTATTGCTATGTCACATTTTATCATGTTTTATGTTTGTCGGATTTTGAGCTTGCTCATGTGCTGTAGGGTCTATCTTTGTCGGACATTAGGGCCTAGCCAGCAGATGGAACAGTTGCTGTCGTTGTGTACTTCAGCACGTGAAGACAATGCTGAGGATTGACAGAGGATGTACTTAGGTAGATCTTATGCGGGAAACCGCCCACAGAAGATGTTACTCGTCTAAGCTGCGGGTAAATCTCTTGGTCAGGGGTTGAGTCTCAGCAGCACAGTTTTCCCTTCACTCCACAAACTTTTACCAGAGAGTTGTCATTTAGTGGTACATTTGGCAAGCAGACTTTACTCATGTTTTAAATGAGTTTTGATAGACTTTTTCACCCATGTGTTTGGGGGCGGGCTGATGAGAGCCAGAAAGGACACTACACCTCTGGGGGCTGCCAACTCTGAGATCCCCTGACAGCTCTGTTAATGCTCATTTGAGACATTCTCTGTGGCGCTTGACAAGTCTTGCATGAGGTTCCGTAAAACCAGAACAGTATTATACACATCACATCGGACTTAACTTTCCCTCACACGCCTGTGACAGAAATCACCACACCACATCATAGTAACTGCTATCAATGTTCTGTTGAACTCTTTAGGAAAAACTGCGACTGGCCAAGGAGAAAAAAGAAATTGAGAACCTGAAAAATTCAGCCCTGTGCACAAATTGTCGCTCTCCTCTACATGGAAACAGTGTTCCTCCTCAGAATGGTAAGCATTTTTTTCAATTCTGTATTATGTTCAAGAAAATAACAAAAAGATACGTGCCAGCAGGTCATATCAGGGATATTGTATTGGGCCCATATTTTTTTTTTTTGCCAGATGGATGATATATGTAAAGGATAATATGTTCAGTATTTACACATCCATCTTTGCTTTTCCACTGAAATTTTGGGTGTGCGTTTATATATAAGTAAAAAAAAATAAATAAATTATAAAAAAACATTTGTGGGAGCTGTGGTAGCCTAGTGGCTAGATGCTCACATGTCAGCCCTAATGTCTCAGGTTTGAGTCTGCACTGGTTAGATTTGAAAGAAGAAAAAAAAAAACATTACCTTGGCTTCCAGGATAACCCAGCCTAAAATAGATACCAGGCAGTATCCTGAGAGATCAAGGTTGCAGGTGTGTTGTCCATCTCCCCCTGGACTGCTGATTGATCTGTAACATATATTTCTATGATCTGGAGGGTTCAGGCAGGTTCGATGCGAAGACAGTGGCTTGAATCATTACAGAAGTCCACTGTGCGTGGAGTCACCTTTATTTTTGTTCCGGGATACGCAGGCGTCGATGGAAATGAAAGAGCTGACAGGTTGGCTAGATCCGCTATCACTACCGACGGTCAGCCTATGGATCATGCTGATATTATTAATGCCCTCTGAGAAATTGGAAGGATAGAGGACTTTGGGGGCAGTGAATCCACATCACTTGCCAGAATGGCAGACTTGGGAATTAAGATCGGCATAGCAAAAAAACAAGACGCACACCAGACACGCCAGAAGACTAGTTAATCAACATAGAACTGGTACTATTAGCCATCGGACGTTGGGGTTCATACTGAGGGGAGGATCTGAGCACCTATGGACATGTCCGGAGTGCAATGATGATAACCCAACTAACTAACTAATATATTTCTAGCATCATGCACCCAGCGCATCACTTTACTTAACTGTTTTCCCCTCTTAAATAAAACTGACCTATGCCATCACAGTGAAATAAGTAAAAGTAATTGTTTCCCTAAGGACATCCTCTGTGGTGAATAAAGGTGGGTAGAAGATGTAGAGGCTGACCTCTACTAAGATATAAATCTGTGTGTAAGCGAGACATGAATGATACATGTATTGAGGTGGACTCGGAACAAAATGCCATGGACCGTGTGGTGTGGAGGGGGCACATCAAGAGGGGAATGAAAATGAAGGAAGAAATGACTGCAGAAAGGATGAGAGCTGAACTTCGGAAAAGAAACAGACTAACCTCAAATACTGATAATAACGATCCTGAAATCGCATGCTATAACTGTGGAAGACTTTTATTAACGCAGGCGGGTCTTGCTAGTCACATTCGCCATCGCCATGGACTGTGAGTCTCATGCCTCTGCATAGCGCAGTATAACACTATCGTCTGGAAAGACGGAAAAGTGCCAATCGTAATTGTTTTGGAAAAGTCACTTGTGCTGTTTTCACAAATTGTGTGCTCATGTGCTCTAATATCTATGTGTGTGTAAATGAGGAATTGCTTGGTTATCTTGTTATTTCATTTCATTTTATATCGGTTTGTATGGGAATTGTTGGCTACTGAAGAAGGTGATAAAGCAGAAGTGGGAAGGCCCTTAAGGCAGTGAAGTCAATTCTTGACTTATGCATTCATTATATCGGCTTTGTTGCAATGAGTTTGAAATTTGTTTCTGCTAAAGACTAATGTGATATTGTTACTCTTTGCATCAATCTGGCCTTATCTCGACTCTACACTTCCCTCTGTTATGATGTAAAGTATGGGCACACAGAGAAATAGTTGAAACACGATGCTGAAGTTGGTACTGTTTATTGTAATATAACAATGAGTCGTCCACTCAATGTCCTAGGTTCTCCCTGGTCGTTTGCAACTCGCTCACGACTGACTGCCACAACATGACTACAACTGGACAAGAGATTCAGTTACCTTTCAGTCTGTATGTTGCATTCACGTGGGGATCTTGCATCTGAAACAAAGTGTGGATCCTGTAGGACACCTGCTTGGTTGCTTGATGCAGAAACATTTGTTGGGTCCTGTAGGACACCTGCTTGGTTTGCTTGATGCAGAAACATTTGTTGGGTCCTGTAGGACACCTGCTTGGCTGCTTGATGCAGAAACATTTGTTGGGTCCTGTAGGACACCTGCTTGGTTGCTTGATGCAGAAACATTTGTTGGGTCCTGTAGGACACCTGCTTGATGCAGAAACATTTGTTGGGTCCTGTAGGACACCTGCTTGGTTGCTTGATGCAGAAACATTTGTTGGGTCCTGTAGGACACCTGCTTGATGCAGAAACATTTGTTGGGTCCTGTAGGACACCTGCTTGGTTGCTTGATGCAGAAACATTTGTTGGGTCCTGTAGGACACCTGCTTGGTTGCTTGATGCAGAAACATTTGTTGGGTCCTGTAGGACACCTGCTTGATGCAGAAACATTTGTTGGGTCCTGTAGGACACCTGCTTGGTGCAGAAACATTTGTTGGGTCCTGTAGGACACCTGCTTGGTTGCTTGATGCAGAAACATTTGTTGGGTCCTGTAGGACACCTGCTTGATGCAGAAACATTTGTTGGGTCCTGTAGGACACCTGCTTGATGCAGAAGCATTTGTTGGATCCTGTAGGACATCTGCTTGGTTGCTCAATGCAGAAACATTTGTTGGGTCCTGTAGGACACCTGCTTGGCTGCTTGATGCAGAAACATTTGTTGGGTCCTGTAGGACACCTGCTTGGCTGCTTGATGCAGAAACATTTGTTGGGTCCTGTAGGACACCTGCTTGGTTGCTTGATGCAGAAACATATGTTGGGTACTATAGGACACCTGCTTGGTTGCTCAATGCAGAAACATTTGTTGGGTCCTGTAGGACACCTGCTTGGTTGCTTGATGCAGAAACATTTGTTGGATCCTGTAGGACACCTGCTTGATGCAGAAACATTTGTTGGGTCCTGTAGGACACCTGCTTGATGCAGAAACATTTGTTGGGTCCTGTAGGACACCTGCTTGATGCAGAAACATTTGTTGGGTCCTGTAGGACACCTGCTTGGCTGCTTGATGCAGAAACATTTGTTGGGTCCTGTAGGACACCTGCTTGGCTGCTTGATGCAGAAACATTTGTTGGGTCCTGTAGGACATCTGCTTGGTTGCTCAATGCAGAAACATATGTTGGGTACTATAGGACACCTGCTTGATTGCTTAATGCAGAAACATTTGTTGGGTCCTGTAGGACATCTGCTTGGTTGCTTGATGCAGAAACATATGTTGGGTCCTGTAGGACATCTGCTTGGTTGCTTGATGCAGAAACATATGTTGGGTCCTGTAGGACATCTGCTTGGTTGCTTGATGCAGAAACATTTGTTGGATCCTGTAGGACACCTGCTTGGTTGGCTTGATGCAGAAACATTTGTTGGGTCCTGTAGGACATCTGCTTGGTTGCTTGATGCAGAAACATTTGTTGGGTCCTGTAGGACATCTGCTTGGTTGCTTGATGCAGAAACATTTGTTGGGTCCTGTAGGACATCTGCTTGGTTGCTTGATGCAGAAACATATGTTGGGTACTATAGGACACCTGCTTGGTTGCTTAATGCAGAAACATTTGTTGGGTCCTGTAGGACACCTGCTTGGTTGCTTGATGCAGAAACATTTGTTGGGTCCTGTAGGACATCTGCTTGGTTGCTTGATGCAGAAACATTTGTTGGGTCCTGTAGGACACCTGCTTGGTTGCTTGATGCAGAAACATTTGTTGGGTCCTGTAGGACACCTGCTTGGTTGCTTAATGCAGAAACATTTGTTGGGTCCTGTAGGACATCTGCTTGGTTGCTTGATGCAGAAACATTTGTTGGGTCCTGTAGGACATCTGCTTGGTTGCTTGATGCAGAAACATATGTTGGGTACTATAGGACACCTGCTTGGTTGCTTAATGCAGAAACATTTGTTGGGTACTATAGGACACCCGCTTGGTTGCTTGATGCAGAAACATTTGTTGGGTACTAAAGGACACCTGCTTGGTTGATGCATGAAATTTCTTTGTTTCTGTTGATCTGTTTGACTGCTGCTGGAGGTTTTTTTTTTTTTTTGTAGAAGCTGCCCAACTAAACAAAGATAATCAGTGTTCCCTGGCTGTAAACTCCAGTGGAAAGTTTTGGTTGTTTGTCCACTTCTGGACTTTGGTCTTGTTCCAGAACTTGAGTTTTGCATGCACATCTGTTTTACAGATCTGGCTTATTTGTATGCAGATTATTGGTTTCTCTCCTCTCAGGCTGATTTAGAAGAGAATAACAAGTAAAGAACTTGAAGAGCATTTCCACTGTGTTGATTTATTTAAAGTCAGTTGGTTTTCCATGTAAAGCAAATGAACAATACAACATGGAACACACAGAAATTATCTAATGTTGCTAAGCACTCACCATGGTGTAGCCTCTAGATGCTCACCTGCGGATCGGAAAGTCGTGGGTTTGGGCCCTAACAGAGCCGGACTTTTTTTTTTTAAACATGACCTTGGCTCCTAGGTCAACCCAGCCTTGAATAGATACAGTCCTGGGAAATAAAGGTGGCCGGCATGATGCTAGCCACATCACCCACTAAGTGCCAATTAGTCTGAAGGCATGGAAGGGGTCCATATATGCATTGACAGAATGGCAGAGAAAGAAAAAGATTCAGATTGCCAGATTGTAACTGGAAAGTATTGTTCAGTTTGTCATGTGTCACATTTTTTGGTGCTAGTATCTGAAAATAATATAAATAATGATTGATTAGTGAGAATTGTCATCACAGCACACCGGACAGATCGGTAGGAGCTCTAAACTCCTCTTGCTGTGTGTGTATGTATGTATGTGTGTATGTATGTATGTATGTGTGTGTATTTATGTGTATCTAAGTGAATGAGTTGGTGGGCGTGTATATGTGGGTGTGCGCATGCGCGCGAGTATGAACATGCATTTTACCACCCACGTATTTTTTCTTCATATTCGTAATATGCATATTATTTTATGAAATTAACATGCTTTGTTGATAAAATACAACTGCTCTGTGAAAGATGTTTGTCTGGAAGGGCAGAATGTAAGACGGGCTTGCTTGCCCTATCTGTGACTTTTTGAAAATAAAGATTTTTATTCCTCAATAATAACTCCACTAGTGTCAGATGAGTGATCACACCCATTTTATGTTGATAAATCAAACATCTCCTGCCTTTATTGAAATGTTCATGTTTTGTTGTCTTCACCAAATGCATCTTGCATGGCTTTAATCTTCTTCTTCTTGTTCGTGTTCACCAGCTGTAATCTCCAGCAGAATGTTCTGGTTGTCCATCCATCTCTGGACTTTAGACTTATTCCAGAACCTGAATGTTTTACAGATCTGACTTATTTGTATGCAGACTGTTGGTTCCTTGCCTCTCTGGCAGATGCACTCTGACTTCAAAGGAAACCCCCAGCTAGTCGACTCTTATGACATGTATGTTAGGGAGGCAGTGGATCCAGTCTTGTTTTCCACACAATGGGGCCTTGGAACCCACACAGGGAGCATAGGATTAATGACATCACTCCTGTCTACTACCAGGCCAGTCATAGTAACAGTACTGTCTGCCAGATGATCTGCATGCTCGTTGCCTCAGTAATGAGAAGGAGGAGGAAGTTGTGATTTTGAAGAATCTGAGGAGTAGCAGAATAAGAAGAGAGAAGTAAAGCTTTTGTTGTGATGTTTCCACTAACCCTTGTATCATTTTTCTGCAGTGTACAACAACCCTCAGTTGTCGAGTACAGTACTTCAGTCTGTCCCTGCGATCTATGGACACTCAACAGTACCACAACAGTATACAAGTCCTCTTGACCGTATTGCTATTTCCATTGCCAATGACAGGGCTGTGCGAATGTTGAAAATACAAGCAATCAAAGTAAGGAAGTATGAACAATCTTCTAGTATCCATTTTGTTGATATTGTTCAGTCCTGTTTATCTTAACAGTCAAAGCAGCAAAGTAAAGGACAGCCTTTCACTTGGTCTTCCGGTCAAATATGGCAGATCACCAACTTACTGCTGGCAATCTGAAAAGTGATTATTATTTCTTGCCAGAGTTTGCCTATGCAGTTTCCCTATTTCTGGACTGAGAGTCTAAAGGTTCCCTTGCCAAGCAACTAACTTCAGTGCTTAATGCTACATTCTGAGTTGCATGTTTTACGCGGAATGTTTTTTTCTGTTGTTTTTTCTGATAGGGCTTTGAGGTATGAACTGCACTAAAAATGGCGGGTGGCCAGATACATTAAGAATAGCATGTATATACATAGTATTGCATATCAAATATTGGCTTTCGTAACTGACTGCTTAGATCAATTTTGGTGTGGGACTGTGGCATATCTGACAGTTGCCGTATGCATTTACTTAGTATGTGCGAGCTTCAAGATTTTGCTGGAACTGACAAGTCTTTCACCAGTTTTCAAATGGGACATTATGTATGATTTTCACTGGCACAACTCCGCTAAGACCGGTCCCAAGCCCGGCTGTAAAAGGAGAAGGGTCTGGCTGAACCTGAGTGCTTCATGCGTCTCCGGAAGTAGTGGGTAACCGTGAATCAGCCAGACGGCCTGCATGGAGGCCGCAAGGAGGCAGCCCCTCCACCATGCAAAGGCACAACAGGCCAATCACCTGTTTGCCTTAAACCACGATTACAAGTAACTGCAGAGAGAAAACCGGACGGATCTTAACGGCGACGAACTGGCATGGCTTACGGACTACGATTTATGGAACATGGAACATAAGAGGCATTAACGGAAAGGAAAACGAGTTAGTAGGGGAGATGAGGAAAGCAAAATTAGAAGTCTTGGCTCTGACTGAAACCAAGAAAAAGGGGCAAGGAATCACAGATCACGATGGAAGTATGCTGCTCTACAGTGGTGTCCCTATGACGGAGAGAGCCAAGGGAGGTGTTGGCTGTATTGTGGCCAGGAATCAAGTTAGTAACATCAAGGGATGGAAATTCATCTCAGAGCGAATAATGGTGTTAGATCTGAAAGAAGAAGATAAAATTGTCAATTTTGTCATTGTGTACGGGCCAAATGAAGATGAGCGAGTAGATGTTAAAGAAGAATTCTTTGAACTGCTCCAAAGGACCATAGATGACTGTCACGATGAAAATATCCTCCTAGGAGATCTAAATGCCAGAGTAGGAAATGATCACTCTAGGTGGGGTGGAGTGATCGGGAGATATGGTGAAGATGTTTTGAATGATAATGGCAAGCGACTTCTCAGATTCTGCAGGGAACAGAACCTTGTCATTACAAACACAAAATTCCCCCACAAGCGTATTCATGCATACACAAGATGTGAACCTTCAAAGAATGAAAAATCCATCATTGACTACGCCATAGTTAGGAAAAGTTCATTCAAGTTTGTGAGAGACGCCAGAGTCATGAGAGGACCAGAGATTGGAAGTGACCACTATCTGGTCACATTAAAGAGAACAACTGAAAGAACTGCTCCAACAAGGCAACACCGACAACCATGCAAGAAACCAAGAAACCAAAAAGGGATGAGGATTAAAGCATACAAGCTAAGAGAGCCAGATATTAAGGCTAGATACCAGGAGCTTATAGTGAAAGCAATAGGAACTGAAGAAGAATCATCAGAGGACACTGAAACCCTCTGGTGCAGATTCAAGAATATCCTCACAGCAGCTGCAGTAGAAGCATGTGGTGAAGTCCCAAGTGGAAGGCGGGGACACAGGACACCTTGGTGGACAGAAGAAGTCAAATTGATAATAGGAGAAAAGAAAAGGGCATGGAAGCAATACCTGGCAGCCAGGAACACAGCTGAAGAAATAGAAAAATATAAACAATATGTGGCACTCAGAACAGAGACCAAAAATATTGTGCTTAAAGCAAAACAGAAATCATGGGAAGAGTTTGGAGAAAAGTTGGAAAAGAATGCAAGAGAAAACCAAAAACTGTTCTACAAGAACCTTAAGAACATGAGGAAGGAGAAAGAGTGCCCACTTAAATTCATAAAAGACAAGGAAGGGGCTCTGCTTACTTCTACAAATGATATCATGGGTAGATGGAAAGAATACTTCTCAGAGCTCCTCGGCGTTGAGGGAAGTCATGACCCAGAAATAATGGACCTCACTGCTGAGAAGGAATTCAACCATGGGGAAGATAACATCAGGATGGAATAACTGAAGGCAGCTATTGAGAAGATTAAGCTGGGAAAAGCAGCAGGTCATGATGGTATAACACCAGAGATGGTCAAATATATGGGAGTCGAAGGTGAGCGCCTTCTACTGAAGGTTCTCCAGGCAGCCTGGTGTAGCAAAACTATACCAAAAGATTGGGAGATTGCCATCATTATACCTATATTTAAAAAAGGTGATAACAGACAATGTGAAAACCACAGAGGCATATCCCTCCTCAGCGTTCCCGGTAAAAGTTACTCTAGAATTCTTGAGCAGAGACTTAGAAGTCTGGTAGAGCCACAGCTGGACGAGGCCCAATGCGGCTTCAGAGCAAACCGAAGTACTCAAGACCTTATCTTCACATTGAGACAGATGAGTGAAAAAGCCCTGGAATATAAGAGTGAGATGCATTTATGTTTTTTTGATCTGGAAAAGGCATTAGACAAGGTACCCTGGAACAAGCTCTGGGACTGCTTGGCAGGGAAAAACATCCCAGCACCCCTGATCAGTGCAATACAGAGTTTCTACAAAAGGTGCAGAAATTATGTAAGAACAGCAGACCAAAAGTCAGAAGAATTTAAGACCACCAGCGGTGTTAGACAAGGTGATATTCTCTCACCTTACCTCTTCATTCTTATGATGGATGATGTCATCAAGACCTGTAAGGAGAAGACAAAGAAGTACTCTGTAGGGTACTGGAAGATGAGACCAATCTGTATATCAGAGCTGGCTTTTGCAGACGATGTGGCCCTGATAGCTAAATCAGAGGCACACCTTCAGTCCAACTTACTTGTCTGGAAGGAAGAGCTTGAAAAGAAAGGGATGACCATCAGTGTCTCCAAAACTAAAACCATGGTGATCTCAAGATAGGAGAAGAAACACCAGATCATGATGGGACAGTATGCGTTGGAGCAGGTTAACCAGTTCAAATACCTTGGAGTTGTATTAGACCAAAATGGAGGCATTAAGACTGAGCTGGCTACACGAAAAGCAGCTGCTGGGAGACTCTTCCAGGCCATAAACCGAGGGTTTCTTAGCAAAAGAGAAATTGGCAAGAGGACGAAAAAGGCTGTCTACCGCTCTACCTATGTACCAGTCCTGACCTATGGGTGTGAGTCATGGGTAACGACAACAGCTCACAGAAGCCAGCTGCAGGCCTCAGAAATGAGATACCTGAGAAAGGTGGTCCAAGTGACAAGAAGGGACAAAGTCCGCAATCAGACAATACGTCAAGATCTTGATACCCAGCCCTTACTAACCCGAGTGGATCAGTCACAGTTACGATGGTTTGGACATGTGTGCAGAATGGGAGAAAATCGGCCACCATGGCAAGCATGGGACGCTAAGAACCAGGGAACCAGACCTCCGGGACGACCCAGGGTGCGCTGGGAAGACAACATCCGACAGTCCCTGACTGACAGAGGACTGGAATGGAACAAAGCCAGAAAGAAAACTGCTGATAGAGACGTCTGGCGATCTCTCTGGCAAACCTCTACACCCCAAGGTAGAAGAGGAGCGACTAAGTAAGTAAGCAAGTTCACTGGCACAGGAACAGAGCAGTTGTGGGGCAACCTGTCTGCAGTGAAATTGGAACCTCAACTAACCAGCTAACGGCTCTTTTCACACCAGTGGAGCATTGGACATGCGATGGCAGACCCATATTTTTATAGACCAATTAGCGCTTAATTATGGGTGTGGTCAACATCCTGCTGGTGACCTTAACTTCCCCGGACATTTTCTGATAGTTTAGGTGGGACCAGCCGGGAAGCCCTCCCCATGTGTGTATGGACCAGCCTGGAAACCCTCCCCGTGTGTGTGGACCAGCCTGGAAACCCTCCCCGTGTGTGTGGACCAGCCTGGAAGCCCTCCCCATGTGTGTGTGGACCAGCCTGGAAACCCTCCCCGTGTGTGTAGACCAGCCTGGAAGCCCTCCCCATGTGTGTGGACCAGCCTGGAAACCCTCCCCGTGTGTGTGGACCAGCCTGGAAGCCCTCCACATGTGTGTCCCTTGACTTCATTCTAGGGAAGAAAGAATAGATCCACTGCCCCCCTGAGGCACATGTAAAAAGCAACTAATTAGGAGTGTTTTCCTTGAAGTCAGTGCATCTATCTGAGAGGCAAGGAACCAACAGTCTGCATACAAGTAAGTCATATTTGTAAAATGGATGTGAACACAGCCTCAAGTTCTGGAACAAGACCAACGTCCAGAAATAGATGAACAGCCAGAACTTTATGCTGGAGTTTACAGCTGGTGAACGCTAAGAAGAAACTGGGAGCCTTAGATTATTGATAAAATCCTACTCAATGTAGATTTCCTCTTAAGATATTGGAGCTGGCGAGCAAGCATTTAGTCACTATACCATCATTGCTCCCCAAATTAACAGTAATGAAAACAAATCACAAATGTGATATAAGCACGATCCCACGACCTTCCGATCCGCAGCCGAGCGTCTAGCCGCTAGCAGACGTGTAAGGAAATTTTATACAATGAAGCAACAGATAAGGACACACAAGGGTCGTGTTGGTGTCAAGTATAGAGGATAGCTAAATCTTCTTCTTTTCCTTAGGGGCTGCGTGGTCTCGAGGCATGGTGTCCGCCTCAAGTGCTAGAGATTCCGGGTTCAATTTCCGGTAAGAGCTGGGATTTTTTCACGTGCACTTGGACTTCTAGTAATTTCCCCTGGTCTCTGGGTAGTGAGATCGGATGCCCATGTGCATTGTTGCGCACGTAAAAAATCCCTAGGCCTAACGGCGCTGCCCAGGCAAAATTTGGAGTTAAAAATCTACCAAAGTATTTCAGTATCCTCACCGGTGCTACAGAGCCTGTGCACTGTGCTGAGCTTCTTCGGACTTAGACTTTAGTTTAAAAAAGAACAGAGTATTTATGGGTTATGCCACGATGTTGATCCGTTGTTCAAACTTCTTTTCCTTAAAGCCTAGGGTAGAAAAGGAACATTAGGAAAAACAAACCTACTGTAGTGTATGATGCATGTCTAGACTCTTTGAGTTTATACCCAGAAGTAAAAAATACATATAACAGAGAGAAAGTACTACTGCATTATAGATTGAGAAGGATGTCTGGACACCGAGATTGTACCTCAGTGTAGAAGATAAATATTAGAGAAAGAAAGACCTGCAGCGAAAGTTTGAGAATAAAGTCTAGATAATCAGATTGTAACCCCGGCAGAAGATAAATATTGCCAACAAAAAATAAAAGCACAGTAATTTAAGGTATATATCTTAACTCTGAAATTTAAATGTTGATTGCTAGATTGTCACATAAATTCTATCATTAATATATTATTTTGTATTTTATTGCTTTCCAGGACAAAGAATTCCTTCAAGAAGAAAATATGTATTTGGAAGGCCTGCGGCATGTACCTTACCATTCAACAGGCTCGAAAACATGATGTGCCTTCTCTAAATAAGTGTATACATTTATTGACAGTAATTTGTAATTTATTTTATTATTGAATGTACTCTCTAGTTTTTTATTTATCAGAATCATTCTCTTTTCTTTTTTCTCTTTTTTAACCAAAAACTATTGAATTAATCACTCATGTACATTATATTTTTATTTTGAGTGGATTGTAAAACAAAGGGGCCCCTTTCTTGTGTGGATAGTAGGGCCAATAATTTTTTGAGTGGATAATAAAGCATAGTGCCCATTTCTTGAGTGGATAGTAAAGCCAAGTTTCTGCTTCTTGAGTGGATAGTAAAGCCAAGGGCCCATTTCTTTAGTGGGTAGTTAAGAAAAGTGCCCATTTCTTTATTGTGTGGATGGATAGTAAAGCCAAGTGCCCTTTTCTTGAGTGGATAATAAAACAAAGTGTTTCTTTCTTGAGTGGATAGGAAAACAAAAAGATCTAATTTCTTGAGTGAATAGTAAAACAAAAGATTTCCTTTCTTGAGTGGATAGGAAAACAAAAGATCTAATTTCTTGAGTGATAGTAAGTAAACAAAAATAGTAAGTGGATAGTAAAAAAGATTTCATTTCTTGAGTGGATAGTGAAAACAAAAGATCTAATTTCTTGAGTGAATAGTAAAACAAAAGATCTCATTTCTTGAGTGGATAGTAAAACAAAAGATCTCATTTCTTGAGTGGATAGTAAAACAAAAGATCTCATTTCTTAAGTGGATAGTAAAACAAAAGATCTCATTTCTTGAGTGGATAGTAAAACAAAAGATCTCATTTCTTGAGTGGATAGTAAAACAAAAGATATCATTTCTTGAGTGGATAGTAAAGCACATGGCTAATTTCATGAGTGGATAGTAAAACAAAAGGCCACTTTCTTGAGTGTATGGTAGAATAAAAGGCCCATTTTTTTGAGTGGATAGTAAAGCCACAGTGTGTCTTTTTTATTGCCCCCAAAATGGTGCTCCGGGACCTATACAGGGAAGTCCTTTAGATCAGGAGTACAAATGTTTCAGAGACCTTTGATCATCATCACTGCAACTACAGAATTTCATGTTTTTGCCACACTTCCGTTGAAAGAACAGTCACTTTGAGGAGAGAGACTGAGCCAAATGGGATAAAACCTGGTGCAGTGAAGTCTTTTCTCTCACCTTCTAACTTCCCCCTTTTTTTAAAGCCAAAACATTTTTTTGTACAAACATTCAGTTGATATTGAATAACACTTGCCTCAGATTCCACAAGTCCTTATATTTTTGCTTTTGACCAAAACAAAATATCTGGATTCTAATAAATTTAAACTCTGTTAGAGAAATTACTCACTGTTGTGAGCTGTGGCAAAAATTTTTTTGCTTCTGCCAAACGGTGGCTGGTGCATTTTTGCTCCATTTGTGTTGGTGTGAATTGTAGATTCAGAAAATAGTGTGATGCCTGTTGTCACAATATTGGTGGTACTATTATCTGATTAAAATTAATCGCGTGTGCAACTGCTGATCTGTTGGGTAACTTCTGCTATCATCCATGATGAACTGCATTTCTAATGTTGGACTGTTTGTGTTAGCACTTCGGATGGCTACCCTTTGCTCTTAATGCGCGTGTGTGCTAGTGCATATGCTGAGACAGCAGTCTTGTCAATCTTTCCACAAGGGATTGTGATAAACATTCTGTGTGTTTTTTGTTAGCACAGGAGCCGAGCAACTATGGGGCGACCCGTTTGCTATGAAGCTGAAACTAAGATTACCAGATTACCAGAGAAATTACCTTGGCTCAGGTTTCAGAGATATAGCGAGGTCAGCGGTTTTCACACATTGTTATCACCAGATCTCTTAAAAATAACCGTGCGTTGATGGCTTTTGGTTATGTGAATGAATTGTACTGTCCTGAGACACAAAGAGCAAAGAAATAGCGAAGTCAGCAGTTTTCATTCATTGTTGTCTCCGGATCTCTTAAAAATAACTGCGCGTTGATGGCTTTTGGTTATGTGAATGAACTGTGCTGTCCTGAGACACAGCGAGCAGAGAATCGGCAGACAGGCACTAACATAGAAAATACAGGGATTGAGGAATCAAGGACACCCAAAAGAAACCTTGAAACGAACGTTGATGAGAGAGGCCAAAGGTGCTGAATTGATTGCACAGGATAGAACATAATGGATGAATAGACTTCAAGCCCTGTGTGACGTTGAGTTTGTTCATTTTTATGCTTCATTATATATTGATATAACTGCAGTAGCGCACCTGATGAGATACAGCGAAATGCTGGGACGGAGCACGTACGGGAATCTGGTAGTCTGGTCTGGTAGTCTTAGTTTCAGCTTCATAGCAAACGGGTCGCCCCAACTTTGCTCCGCTCCTGTGCCAACAAAAAACACTCAGAATGTTTATCACAGTCCCTTGTGGAAAGATTGACAGACTGCTGTCTCAGCATATCTAGCATACACTCGCTTTAAAGCATACGGTAGCCATCCGAAGTGCTAGCACAAACAGTCCAACATTAGAAATGCAGTTTATCATTGATGATAGCAGAACTTGTCGCCAACAGATCAGCAGTTTCCCACGCGATCAATTTTAACCACATAAGGGAACCGCCAACATTGCATGCCATTTTCTGAATTACAATTCACACTGACTCAAAAACTGCAAACTGTTTATTACTATATCCAGTCAATAAGTACAGAAAAAAAAAAAAAAAAATTGCCTCTGCTTCTAGCGTTCGGGAATTCTGTATGTCAATTGTTTATTTACATAAGTCAATAAGTACTTCTTCTTCTTCTTAGTGTTCACCAGCTGTAAACTCTGGCGGAAATTTCTGGTTGTTCATCCACTTTCTGACTGCAGTCCTGTTCCAGAACCTGAGTGTTGCATGGGCATCCGTTTTACAGATCTGACTCATTTGTATGCAGACTGCTGGTTCCTTGCCTCTCAGGCAGATGCATGCCGACTTCGAAGGAAGCTCCCAATTTGTCGACTCTTACGACATGCTTTTGGGTAGGCAGTGGGTCTATTCTTGTTTTTCCTATATAAGGGCCCCGGAACCCACACAGGGATCAATAAGTCCGTTTTCTTGCTGCCAAATACAAAGATCGTAAGTCCCACTAAGACCTAAAGTCAACAGCGACAGGCAATCTGTGTTTATTGCATGTCAGCTGAGATGGGTAGTCTGTGTTTATTGTATAAGTCAGCTGAGATGGGTAGTCTGTGTTTATTGCATAAGTCAGCTGAGATGGGTAGTCTGTGTTTATTGCATAAGTCAGCTGAGATGGGTAGTCTGTGTTTATTGCATAAGTCAGCTGAGATGGGTAGTCTGTGTTTATTGCATAAGTCAGCTGAGATGGGTAGTCTGTGTTTATTGCATAAGTCAGCTGAGATGGGTAGTCTGTGTTTATTGCATAAGTCAGCTGAGATGGGTAGTCTGTGTTTATTGCATGTCAGCTGAGATGGGTAGTCTGTGTTTATTGCATGTCAGCTGTGATGGGTAGTCTGTGTTTATTGCATAAGTCAGCTGAGATGGGTAGTCTGTGTTTATTGCATAAGTCAGCTGTGATGGGTAGTCTGTGTTTATTGCATAAGTCAGCTGAGATGGGTAGTCTGTGTTTCCTGCATGTCAGCTGAGATGGGTAGTCTGTGTTTATTGCATAAGTCAGCTGTGATGGGTGTCTTTTGCATAAGTCAGCTGAGATGGTTAGTCTGTGTTTTTGCTAATCAGCTGTGAGGTAGTCTGTGTTTATTGCATAACCCAGCTGTGATGGGTAGTCTGTGTTTATTGCATCAGTCAGCTGAGATGGGTAGTCTGTGTTTATTGCATAAGTCAGCTGATGGGTAGTCTGTGTTTTATTGCATAAGTCAGCTGAGATTAGTCTGTGTTTATTGCATGTCAGCAAAGATGGGTAAGTCTGTGTTTATTCATAAGCTGTGATGGGTAGACTGTGTTTATTGCATAAGTCAAGTGATTGTTAATTTGGTAGTCTGTGTTTATTGCATAAGTCAGCTGAGATGGGTAGTCTGTGTTTATTGCATAAGTCAGCTGAGATGCTGGTAGTCTGTGTTTATTGCATAAGTCAGCTGCATAAGTCAGCTGTGATGTGTTTAGTCTGAGATGGGTAGTCTGTGTGTATTATTGCATAAGTCAGCTGTGATGGGTAGTCTGTTTTATTGTTTAGTCTGCATAAGTCAGCTGAGATGGGTAGTCTGTGTTTATTGCATAAGTCAGCTGTGATGGGTAGTCTGTGTTTATTGCATAAGTCAGCTGTGATGGGTAGTCTGTGTTTATTGCATAAGTCAGCTGTGATGGGTAGTCTGTGTTTATTGCATAAGTCAGCTGAGATGGGTAGTCTGTGTTTATTGCATAAGTCAGCTGTGATGGGTAGTCTGTGTTTCCTGCATGTCAAAAGAGCTGCTGCCAAAGTTGTGTAAGTCAACTGAGGTATGAAGACAATGTTTATTCCAGAAGTTTAGTCCATGATTGTACAACTTTTAACCTGATAAATTTAACTGATTGCATAGGTTACTAAAAATGATTTTATTCCCACTGTACTGTGATGAAAAATACTACAATTGCATAACCTGGATTATTTAGGTTTATTTAAATTTTTTTCACAGCAGTTAACATGTTTGTTGGCATCTGTAGCTGAGGCCGTGCGAACGCGCTTCAACGGGCCCAACCCCTTTCGCTGGTTTCAGCAGTGGTATCGAGAAGCTGACCATCCAGAAAGCAGTGGAAAACTACTGGACGTAAATTTGTCTAGACAAACCACAACAGCCAAAAAATGCTGGGGTTGGTTCTGCAACGTCCTGTAAAGGATACACAACTAACTTTAGTTAACATGTTAGCCAAAAACTAGCATGCCATTATGAGCTTTTATGGTTGATTTTCTTTTTTCAAGTAATATATTTGAGAAAAATGAATTACTAGCTTGACTCTTTTTGCCTCTGAAATACTTAATATGTTTGCTGAATCCACATGCCATAAGGATTAATCCAAAATGTTTGTAAATATACA